ACAAGATTATTTGATAGTATTAACTAGTTTTGTAACCTACTTGTATACATATGTCATAGACATCTTTATATCCATATCGTTACCGATGTAGTTTAATACTCACATTTTTTTTAATTGTCGCTATATCACGGACAAATGTATATTTACACTAATATACATCGTGTCGTTACCACCGCAATAATAAATGAACACACGTCTAACGCTACTTGCCAATAATCATAAAAAATATTAAGGTTAAAAAAAATCCATACTTAAAAAAAATTCAAACAAACTAATTAAGTAAAAAAGAAAGAAAATTTGTAACACATATATAACTACAACTGACTGACTCATACACTCACAGACTTTTTCATTCGTTGCCGCAACGTTACATTACAAGCCTTCTAACAGTATGTGTTGTCTCTTTTAAATTAATTCAACCCATTTATATGCTTTGTGACTTTTACAAATGAACTTTACGTTGCAGTTTTATATGTAAGGGTGTTCTAAAATTCTTTGTTTTGGAAAATTTAAAAACTCGGTAAATATGTTTAAAGAATTTAAATGTTTAATACAATTTTAAAAAGTTATCCTCTTTATGTGTGTTCTAATTTTGTCGCGATTGTAAAGACACGCTCTGTAACTAAAGTTATTACCGTAGGTACTCCAAACCAAAAAGCTAAAAAGCAAATATTATTAATTTCGCTATTTGTTGCATGGGAAAATAATGCATGAATATCATAAATAATGCACTTTGCACTTAGAGAATTGGGAACGCTTAAATCTCATCAGACCAAGTCACTGGGATGAGAACACGGTACCCTAAGATCAAAAGTCAGGCGTTCGAGCTAATACTAGGATCACACTGAAAGTTTTTAGAACTGGCCGGTTAGAAACATTGTTTATAAAAACTTCTTCAATTTTGAAAATAGAAGAACACCTTGGTAACCTTAATATATATCACATATTGCATTTATTTGTCATTTGTTTTTGTGAATTGGCGGCAATACCAAAGAGTCTTGTTACACGTCAAAACGAATTTAACGTGAGAATATTTTCGGTCCATGATTTATTAAGACTTTCGTTGTGTTCTTACTCAACAACAAAGCTATGATAGACTTTGATTGACATTTAATAATTAAATCCCCATCCCGTGCCACTGTTTACAATTGGTTTAATGAGTTTAAGCGTGGGCGTAGCAATCTCAGTGTTGATCTGCATGAGGGACGTCTTTCCTCGTTGATTGCCTCGTTCTTTAGTCGGAAAGGTCATTTCTAGACAGTTGTGCTGGGAGATGGAAGGACAGTTAATGCTGACTAGTATGCTAACTGCTTTTTGTTTATTGTTCTCGAAGCAGGACACTTCTTCACCACTACAACGCTTCAGTGGACTCCGCGAATTAAAAATTGAATATTTGACTACGGCACATGTCGAAATAATGAGTCATCGGTCATAATATTCCCGACCTGTTGCCCTCAAAATTTTATTTATTTCCAAAAATCAAAGGACAAACTTCGAGGCACTCGCTTTATGAGTCCTGAAGATAGCGTGAGTGCGTTCGAAAATGCCATAAAAGAGGAAGGAAGGAAGAATGGGCCCATCGCTTTTCTCAGACGTTACGTCGCATTCGATAAATTAGGGTACTAAGTTATTACAGTATAAATATAATTTAGGGTTCTAAGTTAATATAATAAAAAAATGCGGCCAAATATAGCGCATATTTGAGACTCGATGACTCACTCATTAATAAGTAGTGTTATTCAAAACCCATAAAGCGCGAACAAGATACTTTCATTAGTCCGTTTTATTATTATTAATTTTTTTAGAAGAATAAGACTGACAAGTGACCAGGCGGTTTACATAAGGCGAGCCATTATCGACACCCATGGGTCGCCATTGTTATATCTACAACATCCGCGGGTTTGCAGTTGCGTCGCCAATCTTTAAGGGACAACCATTACCACCCGCCCCGAATAAGTATCAAATATATTCCTTTTTTCCTCTTTGATGCGAGGCCGTGGTACTTCCTGGGATGAGTGTGGATGTGCTGTGCCATTCATAGTACACCAGAAAAGTATTCCCGATTTCTTGAACATAGACCTTTAGTTAGGTCGAGAGTGCTCGAGATGCACGCATTGATAAACCGTATCAGCACAAATTTTTGTAAAACGAAACTTCGGACTACTTCAGTGGAATTTTTTGTGATATAAGTAAATAGCCCATTTTTAGTTTAGTTTAACACGTCTAACGCAGTATTTCCAAAATAAATTTAGGTAATTTTGTGATATTTGTTCAGCCTTTGCGGAGCGATGGATCATTAACACTTACTTACACACTTTTTTAACATATATAATATTAAAGCGATCGCTATATTATATACAATGGCTATATACACTTTTCTAAATCCAACATTTACAACATTGAATCTATCTAAATTACATATTATCTAATAAACCTAATCCACGCGGCATGGTGCCAAGAACGCTAGCTGTATTTCCTCGCTGAATAGTCATGCTTAACCTTTGATCAAGAATAGAACCAGCTCTCCTGTCACACAGCCGCTCCGTTAAGCCTAGGACGTAAACCTTTTCAAAAATTTTGATGTACGAGTTCCCCACGGGCCCAAAGTTGCAACTGCAAATGGCGCAAATACATAATCTGAACAAAGAGTAATTATTAATTATGAGTATTAATTAGTAACTCATATTTGCGCCACTTACTCCAGCTGTCTCCGATGCCACCCCGGCCCTGACCGAAGTACCCCTTAGATGAGAGGCAGCCAAAGTTTCTACAGAAGTAGCATCCCAAACGAGGGTTTTGCCTCTCTCCCAAGGTATCAAAAGTCAAATAAAAAAGGTGTCTATATAATTATGTATATACATCTAAATTATAAGTAAATATCAAATAAAAAATAAAATAGAAAAGTTCGCAGGTTAACTTTTTTATAAACATAAGTTTGAAAAATTTTCACCCATTCGCCACTACCAGAGTGAACCGAAGACACAGAAATACAGTCTAATATTTAAGCAACTTTACGTGAATATTTAACAATGACATCACACTTTGTCTGTTATGTGCACATTGTTTTTGTTAGGTAGCGGCCGCCGGTTACGTTACTAATAATTGTAAAAATATCCTACATTTTGTAAATAATTATTCCATTTGTAAAATTTCATTGTCTGAGGTAAATTGTTAAAACCTATTCGCATGGTGATTATTTATGTTTTTTAGGAATGGTTATGTTCTTAATACGTTAGCACTTGAGATTTATTCACAAAAAATTGTGGCGTTAAACAGTTACAAAGAGTGTTAAGACTTCAAGTAGAAGTCATTTAACTATAGTTATACGAGATTATTAAAATACCTATCTAAAAGAATCTTGCTTTTGAATGTCTTCAAATAAATGAGGTTATGTCCTCAGAAGCTGATAAGATACAAACATATACCTATATGTTGGTGCACTGTGTACCGTAATAGTCATTCGGTAATACATTTATAGTCCATTTGAAGAACCGGGTGGATATTTTTACCTTTTATGTCTTAAGCGTCGGACATGGCTAAAAATTGTATATACATAAACGTTAACAACCAAACGGAAAACCTCACTCGCAACAGCTGAGGAACATTTCCTTTGAACTATGTTACTCAAAGCACTATGTTTATTGCCATTGTTGTTGCGCCATCCACCTCTTATAGAATGTCAGGCAACAGCGTACGTAGAAGAATAGGTTAAAATAATTCAAATGTACCTAATGTTTACAGTTGTAACGTTGTTCGGGTAATATATTCAATGTTTATATGTTGACTAACCTAAAATAGATAAAGTAATAACTTCATATTGTTAAAAGTACGAAGGTTTAAAATGAAAACCATCAAAGTAAATGTTTACTCTATAACACATATTTATTTGTTCATAATTAAATATATCGTCGAAATAGATCATAGACACAGCTGCAGTACGTAATAAACTATTACAAAACTCATACCACTACAAATGTTTACTCCTATATCCATAAATTGCCTAAAGCACAAATTTGTTTATTTATTTAATGAACGCCAACACTATTAAAGATAAAACTAAATTAAGAAACAATGCCATTGCAATTCCAGGCGCTCCAAAACTTGTTACGAAGTTTGTTACAATGTGTTTGTCTCTGCACTCACGATGAAGCTTTAAATTGTAAATTTTCGCAGATAGACGCGAAACCAAAACACGAAGGTTGCAGGAACTTTTGTTGATTTATCTACCAAAATTTTCAGTACTAAAGCTTGTTTAAAAAATTAATTAAAAACAAGCAAAGCGTTCAGAAAATTATAAATAATGCAAAATTTATATAATTAAATGAAAAATAATGTTAACACTTTTTACTGTGGTAGGGCCACGCAGCTGCTTCTGCCGTTGCACGAATGGGCAGCTCGGAAATACCACCTCACAAAAGACCGGTGTGAAGGGGAAGTATTACACTTTCGGTTTCTGGGTAGTGAGGTAACCGGACCCCACATTTTAACGCATCTGGTTGCAGATGCGTTAAAATGATAAGGTGACACGTCAAGTGTTGTAGATATCCATGGGCGGCGATAATCACTTAAAATCAGGCGAACCACCTGGTCGTTTGCATACTTTTCACATATAATTAAAAATAATTATTTATTCAATTAAAAAAAATTAAAATCATTATTTATTTCATTTGTGTATTCTGCTTATCGCATATTAAAGGAATGGCGGTAGTGAAATAGGCTTTTTTTTAATTTTTACCGCAATTATTTAATGGAATCGAATTAAAAAGTTACTGTAAACGATTGAGTTTAAAAACTTTTTCTATTCCATTGCATTAAAATGCATGGTGGGAAAACGTCAATTATCACTAATATATTATTTCTCCGTTCCTCTTTCCGTACTCCGCACATTCGGAATTACAATTCTGGTCTCATATAAATTAGTATTTCTTTATTGGTCATAATTATAAATCTTAATAAATCACAAAAATAATATTATTCATCAGCCACTTTTATATTTTTCAAATGGACAACGGTTTCCCTTGGCTGTAACAATACAAAATAAACTAAAAGGCACATATAACTTAACAACATGCTTCCGACGCACACATAGACGACGAACCACTTCCACCAATTATCTAAGCTATTGTCAATGCTTGCCCAAAGAGCGGTGAACAAAATGTTCTCGATAGTACACGCTATGATCCAAAATACGTGCCACACGCGCACGTGCCTGAAACGTATTTTGAATTCCATCAGACAAAACAAATAAATAAACGCGAGGAACACGTAGAATGCCCGCTTAACGGTGCTAGCCTGTGGAACTATCAGAAACAACAACATCACTTGGTAGTGAGAGAATAGAATGATAATGGCCACGTACGGAAAGAAATTAATAAATGCAGCTATAGAGAGCAGTCGTGAAATAAAGAAGGCGTACCACCCCAAGTATTGGACGAGACCGGCTGTCATGTCTTGGGGTTCGAGGCCCCTGATGAAAGATCGTGGTGCGCGGCGTGGTATATCGGGTTCCTCTTGAATAACCTCCCAGTGCTTCCTTCTGGGTGGAGCGGAGAGCCACACAGGTATATTTTCTGCATTCTCAACCATTTTCTCGGCCCATTGTGCCAAAGAACCAGGTCTAGGGGCGGGTATAAATGGCGGCGGGGGAACGTCGACTCTTTCAATTACATAGTCTCTTTTTTGTCGTCGAGGGGCAACCTTATCTATAATGGATATTGGTCGAACATATTCATTATCGCTTTCATCATTTTCATTGCTTCGTACTGTTACTGGCGCAAGGTAATTTGAACTTGAATCTGAATCAAAAGCACTGTCCTCGTAAAATGAAGATGCCATCTCAGAATTACGTGGGGAAAACTGTATTAAATCGTTATTTTCATCTTGGATACTAGACTCCGATTTATTACGAATGGTTTGCCTTCTCGTTGATTCTTTTAGATTTTCAGAAGAGTAATCCTTGTTTAGTTTTTCAAGGTCTTCTTTAAATTTACCACCATTATTTTCGACTTCTAGTTTGTTCCTCCATGGATATTTTCGACCCAATACTTTCTCTCTTTCGAATCTTCTGTACAAAGTAGCTGTGCTGGCCATTCGCATACACGACGCAATTATACTAATTGCTTGTACTGACACTATAAGAAATGTGTTTTTATCAAAAATACTATTTTATGTATAAATAAATTGAAACTTAACATCGAAAGAAGTGAAAGAGATTAATGTATATGTCGGTTAAATGATGAGTAATATGAAATGCTGATGTTGAATGTAAATACATATAAATTAAGTTCATATAAAATCGGCGTTTAATATAGAAAAGCTCACAATATTTTAATTGATAGATTATCTACATGTTAATACGTGAAGCAAAAACTTTGTACGCCTTTTTACGAAAACTGCGAATATGAAATTTCTCACTCTTATAGTTTTACTTTATAGAGAAAGAGTGCATAATGCTAATATTTCCTTAAAATTATTCATAAAAAATACATTACATCAATAATAAAACATAACACACTCTACCATATATAATTAATTATGGTCGAATTTTGACCACTAGTTTATTATATATCAGCTGTGATGGTATCACGGAGCCAGAGAGTAGTGTATAGTAGTGTGAGAGAGTAAGACAGAGAGAGAGTGAAAAAGGAAGAATGGCGCGGAGCGGGAAATACGTAGTTCTCTACAGTTGTAAACACTACACTCTATTGATAATTTTAGATAGTTCGGCTTAAGAAAATCGGCGGATTATGTTATTCCTATAATTTTTAAATATTTTTCTTTCAAATGAAAAAAAAAACCGCGCTCGAACATTTCGAGGTTATGATTTTTTTTGCAACTTTGCGACTCGCTTATCTTTTATGTCACCTGTAAATCGTCAGATTATTATAGAGGTTTTATTTTTTGCATGTAATTAACTTATTTTGTTTAAATCTGATGCGCTCGAGTTTTTTTAAAGATCGTTTTTTTTTAGTAATCTGATCGACTGCCCTATACGCACCTGGTGGAAGTACATAACAAGGTACAAGGTTTATTTTCTTATATTAAACTGTCGGGCTCATGTTACTACCAAAATCCCCGCTTGGGCTCCCCTACTATAAGTGACGTATGTTTTCTTGTGTGCTCTAGACAAGCTTCAAAGCCTTTTTTGTTGTTGTGGTTTAGAGTTCACAGTACGGTGCACATTTTCTAAGCCCTTTTATTTTGCCTTATTGATAAAATAAAATATTTACCTTTATCAAAAAATGGATTTGAGACCCGCGACATTAGATCTAAAATATTCACAATGGCATGTGGCGCCGAATGTATAAAGGCCTGTAAAAATAAATACAACTCTATTGGTGAAGGTGCTCGTGCAAGGGACAACGCATCTTTTGTTCGCTCCTCATCTCCCACGTAAGAAGCAAACACACTTTCAGTCCACCAAAATATTAAAAAACAGTATCTGCAAAAAAAAGGCCATTTGAAAAATCTTGTTCAATATAATCAAATCTTATAGCAATGGTTATTTCACCTTAGGTAAAGTTCAAAAAAGTATTAATTTCTGAATAAAATCAGCGTTAAAATCAAACTAAATCAACGAAGTGATATTTACCTTCCAATTGCCGCAAAAGGAAAAAAGATAGCGTGAAAAATTTGCAATAGAATCCATTTAATATCCTTTTTTTTCACTGATATGGCGAAGGAAGCTGTTTCAGTCTGTAGCCCCGGGGGTGGTGATGCTAATGTAAAGACTACTCCCAGTAGAGCCGGCAAAACCATTAAGATTATGCAGAAGACAGCAAGACTAAAAACAAATATCAAAATAAAAAAACGCGCACTTGAAATCATATCTGAAATGTTTGTTATAATGTCTTACGCATTGTTTTCGGTACGGAAGTGTTCATATATAAGTGCAAAATCGTAGCAAATAACTGTCATATAAACAATAAGTCCTCCACAAGATGGGAGAACTCTGTGTAACAGTAATGCTTGCCATGGTGGTAATTTCCAACCCAAAATCTCTCCTGACACTTCTTTGTCCAATTCACAAGATACCATTATTAAGATATACAAAGAATTAATCTTTCTGTTTACGGTAATTTAAAAAAATCATAGTTTCTCATGTATAACCAACTAAATAAAACGATACAGCACAGATTGGAAATAGGGTTCTTTTTATTTTATAAAAGTAATTATGAAGTTCAAACGACAAAAAACACACTTCTGCGCGAATAAAAATTCAACTGTAAGCACATCCATTGATAACTTTTGATTAGATAAAACACTGACTCAAAAAGATAACAATAGGTTTAGGCTCAGGTTTACGTTTTCGTACAACCGAACGTTGTTTTTTTTGGTATTTTAACTAATTAATCATGTGGTTAGAATTAATAACTCAATTTCTGTCTGTTATACCTAAACTGACCACTTTTTTTCAACTCAAAACGGGACATTGATTTACAAAGAAAATAAATATAACTTTTTTATTTTCTTTATTCCGAAAAGATTGAAAATTAAAAGATACAAAGAAAAAATCATCAGTTCACTATTTTTTTTATTAAAACATGTTTAAATGTTATTGGTATAAAACATTTTTATACCAATGTATGTTTTTAAATATTTTTATATTTCTCACATAAAAAAAAGTTCTCAGAGGAACAAATTTGTTTTAATTAAGAAGGTGACGATTTTAAATAAAAATAAAATTTGGCACCTTCACCTGTTCAAAATCACCAGCACCACTATGGGAAACACAAATTATGCGATACTTTTCGCACCTGACATCCAAAGGAGTGTTAATTTGTTTAATAAATGGATATTTTGTTTGTAGGTTGACATTAAATGAACAATTGGGTTTCGGCATAACTATAGGAAAAATTTCAAAACAACAAAGCTTCAAATAATCTACAAAACTATTTAACGAACATTACACAAAAACATAAAGAAATCAGAATACATGCGCGGGGCTAGCCTATTAAAAAAAAATGCCCCCTTCCCTCTCCTCATCACCGCGTTACTAGGTAACCGAGGGCTCGTGCATGCGGGGTATAACCGGGAATAACCGATCGCGGTTCCGCGCTGCTCATAATCATGTCTGACGAGCGTGGTTTTGAATTTTCGCGCGGTTTCCAAAAAAGGGACAATTTTGTGTCCCGAAGATTTGTTCGGGGACAAAGGGACAGCTGTCCGAGAAAAGGGAGAGTCCCGTTCAAAACGGGACGTATGGTCAGTTTAGTTTTATTTTTTTAAGTGTCGGCGGTTTACCTAATAATAATGGAATTAGCTCCCCATTTTTTTCAAATGAACATGTACAACATCAATATATGTACTAAATATTTGATGACAACTTTAAAAGAGTGATCCGCTTACCTCACTCAGCAAATCAAACGCAAAAGAATAATAAATATTTTCACGTATTTTATATGATATGCTTGGTAATTCTGCGGACATACCTGTCCATACTCTTAACGAAAAAAGCTACAAAGTTCAACCTCAAGAGTAATTAAAATCATTGATAACTATTTACTATGTAAATCTTTTTAGTTTGTACATTTCAATTAAGAAATAATTATTATATGAAATAATGAGATACATATAAGTAAAAAATGTGTAATACCTGGTATGAGCCTAAGCCGCATCAACTTTATGTACAAGTAGGCACTCCATCTGGTCGGGGGTCGTCCTAGTCCTAGACGTCCTAGTCCTGACGAGGCTGCCACTTGTCCATCTTTTTTCTCATTGGTTATCGGTTCTACGACCTATATGGTCGGCCATGAGTTATTTGCCCCTTCAGCTTATTAATCTCATAAGAAATATCGGATATCTTTGTTCTACTGTGACAATGATGATAATAATAATAATCCCACCTATTATTAAAACCCAAAAGACAAAACTACGTAATGTTACAGTCTTTTCTACATCGCTTGACTGAGCGGCTGAATGAATTAATTTCCTCGTCTCCTTGAAATTGTTTGCAAAGGTGTCAACTGTTTTCAAATAAAAAACTGTCAATTGTCAAATCTGCCGTCCGAACGAACTGAAGTCAATCCATAATTTTTTTTGTCTATTATACAATTTTAATGTGAATATTATAAAATTGAGAATTTTAAGAACAAACTTGATATTGGCAGAATTGTGATTACTCACAAAGCAAGCCATTAATAAAAAAAAGGAAGTCAATCCATAAATCCTCGTACCAAATCCAAAATCCCAAATTAACTCTCTAGTAAACTCGACTATGCCATTAACGTTATTTACATTAAATATTTTTTAATATATTGTTTCCTTCAACTTATTGCGATGTTTAAAACCATATTGAGGACTTCAATAGCTGATATACAAAAACGCTTGTTATTTATATGTTCCTTAAATGGTATTATTAAGGGACGTTCTCGTTTTATTCATGATGGAAAGATTTTAGAAAGTCCACGCAATGTTTCTAAAGGAAAATCTATGACTTCACCTGCTATATCAGGCAAATATGAAATAATATCTGAAACAAATTCACCAATAATAGAGCACACAGCAGATGAAGTGCTGTTGAACGAAAAATATTCTATCCTCAGTGATGAATTTGATGGCATCAACCTCGAGAGTGAGTTTTGAAAGTAACTTTTAACTTGTCGCAAGTAATATCAATGTGTTTTTAAGTTATGTAAAATGGGTTAAAACATTGATAAATGTTATAATAAAAATATAATATAACATTTATCAATGGGTTATATCAACCCGAACACTGCAAACTACATCATCAAATTAAGCTATTTTAGGGACTTGTTGCATTTGTTTTTAATTTTAAACAATTGAACAAATCTGCATTCTGTGGGCATGGTTAAAATTGACAACAAGACTTGTAAACAAAACAGCTTTCTTTCTTTAGTTAAACCCATAGTGTTGGGTACCTGAACTAATGAAGAAGAATTTAATTTTATTATGTTAGTGTTTGACAAAAGGTTGTTACACAATATATTTTTTTCAGGGGGAAAATGTGGTGTTTTTGATATTGAGGATTTAGTGGATTTGTTGCAAAGAGAAAACTCAAAAAATATTTTTGTAGCCTCTGTCCCCAAAGAAATCAACTATGTACAATATATATGTGTTGTTAGTAGCCGTAGTAAAAGGCATATAAAAGCATTGGCTGAGTTTGTTCGTAAGGTTTATAAGAAAAAGTGTTACCAATCAGATCAAATTCCAAGAATAGAGGGAAAAGACTCAGATGATTGGATGGCCTTAGATTTAGGTGAGTTATGAGTAAAATCACAATACCCATTTCAATTTTTGTTGTTTTCTACCTATTTTTTATTATTTTAAAAGTATCAGGTTTGATAGAGATGAGAGGATAATTTGTGCGGCTATTGAAATTAAATAACACACTAATTTCAAAAATCAGGAGGTTTGGGCACTACCACTAGCTTGGGATTCTATCATTAATAAGTTTAATTCTAGGTCCAAACATACTACTATTGCAAGGCAAGATTCAATTAACCTCACCTAGATAGATGAGACACAAAATTAATCATTAAAAAGCTGCCAGTAGACAGAGTTAACAAAGTCACTCAGATTACCCTTTAAAGTCTTTAAAACTATGGGAATTAAAATTAAAAATAAACAATATCAATCTGTAAAAATAGATTAATATTCATTTAGGTTAATTGAATTGATTGACTGTTCACCTGGCGTTAAGTGAATACCACCGCCCATAGACATCTGTTACACCAGAAGGTTTGTCGAAACGCAGACGAGACACGAAAGTATTATACTTTCACTTTACGCCGGTCTTCTGTGAGGTTGTGGTATCTACTCGGACGAGCCTGTCCATTCGTGCAACAGCCGAGGCCGCTGTGTGGCCCTACCATATATTTTGTTACTTTATTTGATGACATAATATTTTAATTTAACAATATTAAACTTAAAAAAAAAAAAGGCTGTGATTAATGTACAATTTGTTAGGGTTACACAACAATTGCCGTTGTTGCATGAAGTGAAAGTGTTATATTTCTGTATTTCGTCTGGTGAGTGAAGAACTCAGGGCCCACTTTTTGGTGTAGCAAATGTCTATGGGCGGTAGTTATCACTTGAATCACCTTCTACATAAAAAAAATATGTTAGAATCCAAAAGGCATGTGTTATTGCTTATATGCTTATGGATTTATTATATCATATATTAATGTCACAAATTGTTACTGTATATTTTGGTTTTCAGGTAATATTGCGCTTCATATATTTTCTGACAAAATCCGAGAAGTTTATGATTTGGAAACCTTATGGGCAGTTGGTCCAGAATATGACAAACAAATGAATGAAAAGAGTGATGTTGTTAATATATTCGAAAACTACAGTTCATATTTGAAAGACCTGAAACCCTTAGCATAAATGAAATATATATTATATACCTCTTACAGCTGATACATCCTTAGAAGTTTTGTGTCCTAGATTTTTGATTGTATTAAATAATTTAAAATATAAATATATATTTGTTTGATTTCCACCTAAAAAGCAACATAAATTTCAAATATTAATGTGTATTTTTCAAAGTTTGTAAAAAGTATACTTAATGAAGTGGAACAACTTTATAAACAAAATTTTATAAACATATTTTTAGGTTTTTAGTTAAATAAGGAAAACTCATTATGAAAGTCTCATATAAAATGTTTATTTTGCTTATTTATATTATTGATACATAAAGTATTGGTTGTATAACATAATCTAGATAGTTATTTAATCAATTCCTATGAATATTTTAATTGTTTTGAAAAAATATATAAATTATATGTTAATGTACAATTGAATTTAATAATAATTGAAACATGTTTGACTATCAACTTACATGATTTTAGTTTACAAATTAATTTGGCATAATTTCATATACACATACTATCTCAGATGGTTAAATGCAATAAAATAATATAAAAGATTTAAAAATGGTGACTAATTAATTGCATTCATACCACAATCACAAAATCTTTATCAGTCAAAATGCAAATGCACATACCTAATGTTCTAATTTTATTCTAAGAAATTTATTTTTGATAGCAAGTTAATAATACTTCTACTGAGTTAAAATATAAAATAATAATAAAAGCCAGTACATATTAAAGTAATATTAGAATAAAGTGAAAAATTGTAATCGGAACAATACAAAAAATGTTGGACCACATTACAAGTCTTTCTTTTTTTTTTTTAAACTATCCTTTTTAATATTTTTTACCAAATATTAAAATGCCAGTTTTAGTTTGAGAGTGAGCTTTTAAGAATTTGTGCATGAATAGTAACATAGAAATGAAACTTTAAAAAATATACAAATATTTGATGTTTACCATTTACATTTTTAATGCACAAATACTGAAGCAATGTGCCAATAAAAACATTATGAAAAAAGTTTTAGATACAATTATGTGATTTTGATTTTAATACAAAATTTGGTTCATAACTAAAAATTTAAGACAATATGGCCACACTACGCCTCACCCCAGCACCAGAATTGACATTATCCAAGCTAGACCACTTTTTAATACCATTCTTTACAATCTCTGCAGAAATTTTATCTTCCATTACACGTGACATTGCCTCTAGTTTTTGTGCTCTTTCCTTGCTTAGGGGTTCACTGGGAAAAGCTAAGTCATTAGCTTCAGCAAGTGTACGCAAGTCAAAATAATATTTAGCATAAACACTTGATGGAACATTTATGTTGAATTGCAACATTTCTAAAAATTGTCTTTCTAATTCATTCATGTCCTCAACAGTGATGTCCTTTAATATTTGACAATAGTCCACATTCCAAACAGCTTGGTCATCCCAAACTTTACTTGCTAGCAAAATTGCACCCAGAACTATTCTTTTCCAATTTGAAGGTGCAATATCTAGATCAGCACATATAAGAAGTCTTTCTAAATATACCAAAGTAATAATAGCACATTCTGCAGTTAATTGCGCAGCATTGAATAGTGTCCGTACAAACTTATAAATTTGTTTGTGTTCTGGATTATATTTGTCATAATCATCACTGATGCCTTCTTTACTCAAAGGGTGTAATTTCTCATCAAATATGTCTAACCTTCGCTCAGATGTTCGATTTTTAATATGATAGTAAATAGCTAATGCCACACATTTGACAGTGTTTTTTAAATTAGGCTGGGACACTGTACTATCATCTAAGTAAATTGTAGAACAGGAACTGCTTTTTTTTAATTTATTATCGGCTATTTGATGCTGACTACGCTTCCTAGTCATACCATTTTCGATTGATGCTTTGGACCTTTCCATAAATATGGTACCAGCTATAGGATCTTGAGAAGGATCAATATCTCCATCATCAGGTTCTCTTTCACTAATATGTTGAATGTTATTCGAACTCAAGTCTCCTTCTGGTGGATATTCTTCCAATTTAACGATATCCTTTCTGATCGGAGATGGACTGCGATAACAACAGCAACTGTTTTGGTTCCCCATTTTCCTTTTCGAAAACACTAATCGTTAAACACAACTTATTATCATTCTGCAAGTTCTTACACGCATTTAGATACGCATATATAGTTTGCCGATCTGCAAATGTGACATAAAAAGCCCATAGTATCTGAAACAATAGACATGAATATTCTATTACGTTTGAGCATGTATGACATTATCTAACTATAATAATTAATGGTATATAATAAAAACAATATACCTTTTAAACCGTGTAATAACATTTCAAAATAAAACGTTAATAAAAATCTAGTTCAGCTCGTAAAGCAGATTCATTTTTTTTCAACTTTGACAGGAGCAAAGCAAGAGCAAAGAAGCAAGCGAACGTCATTTTGAAAAGAAAAATTAAAGCACAGATTAAAATTGAATATAAGTAAACAGTTTCACATCGAGTTTTCGTTATGTGTAGTTTGAATTTAGTCCGGCGGCTTTGACAGCTTCGTGGACTCACAAGAACGTAGCTGGAGTACGACGATGATACGAATACACCGTTTGCTTGGCTGCATCTCCGCAGTGCCACATTGATAGTGGAACCTATACAAAGAAAGTAGTAAGGTTTAATTTTTGTACTACCAAGTGATTATCAAACGAACATATGAAGCGTTTTAATAATGGTTTAATATCTTGTAATACGAACGAAAGAAGTATTTACAATTTTTCCATATCATCAAACAAATGTGTCAATCAACAGATTGAAGTTTGCATACTAGAAACCATGAACACCATACCTCAAAACCTCACGAACCTGAAAACCTTACGAACAGATAACCAGTAATAATACCACGAAAACAACAAACCATTGGTATTACCTTTAAACTACAAGACGTCAAAATTTGTTGTAAAACAAACACATGCAGGCCAATGTTAAGTTAACAGTACACTTCGCTTGAAGGGGAGTCCTGTGGCGTATTTATAATAATATTAATAATAATATAGCAGCAGTCTGTGGTATGTTCACGCAACAGTCGTCTCTGTTGCATGGATGGGTAGGTCCGCCTGGGTAATTATCACGACCTCACAGAAGACCGGCGTTAAGTGGAAGTGTTATAAATTGTATTATAATTCCCCTCTTTTTTTAAGATAACAACGGATCTGAACCTTACGGGTGTACAAATGTCAATGGGCGGCGGTTATCACTTAACATCTGGTGAACCGCCAACTCGTTTGTCACTTTCTCAAACATAAAAAAAAAAATAACTGACGACATGAATCTTTTATTTTCAACTTCTAGACCCGCAGTCTATCTTTATCACCTCTGGTGGAATGAGGTATGCGGGGGATGCAACGACGCTCGCGCGGGATAATCACGCCTTCAGATTGGCCGTGGATAGTCGCGCCCCAAGCATTAAAGCGAGCGACGTGTAACGAACACAACAAGGAGAGAATGAAAACGCCGAATTCAAGGAGCACCTGTTCACTAGTTGGCCTGGTGTCATATCTGGAGATGCCGCAGGTCGAGTTTACTCTGTCCATGTTAGTAATATGGAATGTTTATTTTTGAGAATGCTCTCATTCCATGAACGTGGGCCTTTCAAAGGTCTCACAGCTCAATCAGGAATTTTCGAAAGGCAAAATGATAATTATATTACTGGAGAGATTTATCTGATTTTGTGATGGGCAGACCAAAAAGAATTAGGGAAGTAAGTGGTGATTTATTGTGATAATTAGATTATGATACTGTTTCTTTAAAGCGACAAATTCCAAGTTTCCAATATTGAAGAAGAACAACAAAGATTACTTTTTGACATAGTTATTCTAAAAGTTGCATTTTGTAGGTGGTTTGTTCTTTTTGGATTGTCCAGGAGGCATCGGTAGGTAATTTTATTTTGACTACAAATATGCGAGCAAAGATGGAACTATTCTCCGGTAGGGCAATATGCGGCTGCTCTTCTAAAATAAAAGTCGCAGAAGATTGTATGCCAACAGACAGCGTTGTTGACCATGATTATACTGAGACGTAAATTCTTTCAAATTGTCGATAACACAGATGATTTACAAAATAATGTATCTGTTTATCTCTATTCTGATTTACAAATAAATAAGGGTAATCGAGAACGGTTGTGTGAAAGAGCAATTTTGTCGAATGAGACAGTAGGCCAGATAAACGAACAATTGAATTGTCAGACTTTGAGGGGGATGTTGGACCACAGCATTTGGTATGTGTATTATTTGCAAAATTATAAATCTAAAAATATATTAAATAATAATAGTGCGGCCCAAAGTAAAAAACCTACGCGGATGAATTCGAGGCCAAAAGCTAGTAATTTATAATCTTCATAATTTGCAATGTTTGAGATACTTTTCACTTTACACAGTATTTGAATGTGTCTAGATTAGTGCACTTGATACATACAAACGCATATAAGAAATAATTAGAAAAAGAAACTAAACCCAAGTTGAAATCTCTTGATACACATTTTTTCCAATATTAAAATTCCAACTCAAGTAATTCAATATAAAAAAAACAATGATTATTTAATAAAGATGTCGCATCCCAATACTACGCAGCGCTTAAAATTATGCTACTTGACTCATATTATATTTGACACTAAATGAGTATTTCATGCAGTATTGATTATACAAAACCGAAATATATTGATTTTGGTTAATAAAAGTGACAGATGACTGCACAATTTCAATTCAATTTTGATACTTTTATTTTTTGTTCTAAACGCTGAAAACGCTTGCTCATAACTTTACTTTGCTTGTACCATATATCTCCTACATATAACTTTACTCTTTGGCTTGTACAAAGAGAATGTAATCACTACGTTTAATCACTGTGCTTGTAAACAAATCGTTGTTTTGTTAGTAATAGCAGTGTTACCAACTGTTCAAAAAAATACTCATTAAATAACTATTTCATTAAAAATATTCAAGGAAACTAAACATAATATTTCATTTTTTTGTGTTACTTTAGAAATGAATATGTTTACCATCAAATCAATAAAATATTTAAAAAATTTAAATACTAATCATTAGATTCTCGTCGAATATACCTCAATGTTTGAAGACTAAAGTCTTCAATCAATGTGTGTTGCCAGTGATGACCTACGGAACCGAGACGTGGTCCTTCACTGCTGGCCGTATGAGGAAGCTCAAAGTCGCTCAGCGAGCTATGGAGCGGGCTATGCTCGGTATTTCTCTGCGTGATAGAGTTCGTAACGAAGACATCCGCAGTAGAACCAAGGTAACCGACATAGCTCAGAGGATTAGCAAGCTGAAGTGGCGATGGGCCGGCCATATAGCTCGTAGAACCGATAACCGTTGGGGAAGAAAGGTTCTCGAGTGGCAGCCTCGTACTGGCCATCGCAGTGTAGGACGACCCCCCACTAGATGGAGTGACGACCTGTGCAAATGTGCGGGAAGTCGATGGATGCAGGTGGCTCAGGATCGTACTTCGTGGCAGTCTATGGGGGAGGCCTATGTTCAGCAGTGGACTCAAACAGGCTGAAATGATGATGATGATGAATCATTAGATTACATAAACTAAAATAATTATTTTTTTTTATATTGTAAACATATCCGAGGACAGTTTTATCATCCTTTGGCATTTTATATTGCTTAATAAAAAATATGCTTAATAAGTAAATAACTGTGGTTACTAATGACTTTAATGTTATCCTTTAAACGAGCAATTCTTGTATATATATATATATATATATATATATAATCGGAATCTCGGAAACGGTTCCAGCGATTTTCATGAAATTTAGTATGTGCGTAGATTCGGGGGCGAAAAATCGATCTAGATAGGTTTCATTTTTAGAAAATGTCCTTTTATCCCTGTTTTCAGGGAATGAAAAATATAATTCGAATATGACGGTAAATTTCGCCGCAAGAGAAAATATCATAATAGCTCGGTCGATAATCGGGCAGCCCCAAAACAGACGGCCGTGGTTCGCGTCACGATCATCTACACATTTATTTTTTTACTTTTTTTTCGATTCCAGATCATTGCTTTCTTTATTTTTAATTTTTTGTCGATTTGTTATTTTGTTATTTTTTTCCCTTTTTTTTAAAGTTCTTTCTTTTGTGAAAAATATCAGTTCATATTTTCTTATTATTACGTCGGTAAGATCGCAAAATATTATGCGTATTTCATTAATCAGTAATTTGTATCTAAATGTAATTTCCAAAATACACGATTTACAAAAAAGAGCAAAAGAGCAAAAGTCCTCCGGGAGTTACAAACGTCGAGCAAAAAGCACTTTTATAGGTAGGGCGAAAGGTACCACATAGGCCTTGGCCTGATGTTCACCAATGCAGCCAACACTTTTAAATTATATTTTTTGTTGAAATAAGTAAGTAGTCCTGTGTAGTTTTTTTCAAAGATGTAAATAAAATTTTACTCCTATATATAGTCCCAAAAAATTTACCTAAACGAACTTCCATTGTACATTTTTTCTTCCTAAATTTAGGAAGAAAATTCCTAAGTTGGTTATCCGTGGCTAAGCGTGTAGTTAAATAAAAAATTTCAAATTAGTAATTTGAAATTACTGTTTACAATACGAATGACGTCACAACACAGATAATCGTAAGTATAAGAAAACTTCATTTTTAAAATATATTTTTACCCAGTTGTCGGTCCCAAAATAATATGGTAATATTTTTTTTTATCTTATCAAAGACTGATTAATCATTTGAAACCTACTTTAAAATAAGAGTCAAGTGGCCTATTGTTCCCCTTTACATTATACGACATATATGAATGAGTGAATGTGACAGATTATATAGAACGTATGATATGGAAAGAGTTAGCAGTCTATTGAATTGCAATCTTATTACACGTAGTTTGAGTGAGTCAGTTTTGGAGTGCTAGTGTATAATATCTTCCTGGTATTTGTATATCATTGATAAAAAAGAAAACAAATCGATTTTTTATATAATTATATAGTTATCAGATTTTTCAAAAATGGTTCGGTTTCATTACGTCGTAATAAAGAATCACTAATGAGTACACGGTTCATTAGGTTTCTTTCAGTGAGCTCATGAGGCACCCAAATATCGAGCTTTGGCAAATGTAAATAACCTCAACTCTGGCGTAATTCAATTATAATAAATTTTAAACGATAGAGAAAAATCTCTAATGAATTAATCAACAAGCAGAATACGGCGGTCGCTTATAGTTTTCGAGAAAAAAATATTTAAATCTTGTTATTTTTACTAAGAAATCCACCATTTTATTTATTTGACTTCAAAAACTCAATACACAGTTCTGCCAACATGATAAATATAGGAAGCGGGTGACATCATACTCGTATTGATAGTCCGATTTTTTTAATTTAATTAGTCACAGAACCGACACAGAGCGAATCCGACTCGGATAGATTAGGTTAGAAGGTTAACCTTCGAGGTTAGGTTATTTTTTTATGACCACCAAGAAATACGAGCAGAATTGACATATGACAACAAAAAATAGCGGATTTCTATAGTAAAAATCACACTATTTCATTATTTATTTTTTCGAAAACTATAAGCGACCGCCGAATTCTGCTTGTTCATAAATTCATTAGTGATTTTTCTCTATCGTTTAAAATTTATTTTAATTGAATTACGCCGGAGTTAAAGTTATTTATATTTACCCGAGCTTTTTTCTGTACCCAGCTTTTTTCAAATGCACAATAATGTTTTGTGGTCAATTTCTTGTTCTTCAGCTACATCGAAACTATTGAATACCCGATCTTGCCCCACTTTTTCAAAAATGGCATTCATTTTATCCGTAACAGAGCGCCCAGGGCGAGGTGCATTTTTGACATCAAAATTTCCGGATTGGAAACGCTTAAAGCAAATTTGTGCTACTCTCACAGACACTGCACTAGGTCCATAAATATCATTTTTATTTTTACCTTTTTTATAGTAAAATTTTAAAATGTATCGAATTTCTTCATTAGAAATACTCATCTTAACAGTAAGAAAAACAAATGAAAAGTGTGGTTTTCCTAATTTGAATTTGGAAGTATCTTTTTTAAAATTTAAACATTTTAATGTTACCAAAACCAACCAGATACAAATGGTATAGCCAAAGAGATTATAAGTACATACAAACTATTTGCGAGAGTTTTTCCCCAACTTATTATTATGTTAATACGATTAAAGGACGAAACAAATGCTAAAGAATTGATAATCTTGGAAGAGGTGCAATTTCTGAGGCTTTATTTACTTTTAATGCCTATAAAAATTAAAATTATAAAGTGTACTATAATTTTTCAGCAAGTACTATCCGATAAATTGTTTTATACTATCTTTTCCACCATACCTGAATCCAACCAACTCTGCTCCGAATATCTCTATAGAGTATATATATTAATATATTCTGTGTCGACTGTCGAATATAATATAATCTGTTTAAACAAGATGGCCGAATGTAAGCTTGTGCTTTAATATTTTTGCACGGGGTACTATTAACTACTGTGTAGATATTGTTTTTTCACCTTGTTTAGGTTTATAGCATAAAGTGGTAAGAATTGTTTTTTACCAAATTTTTTAGATATGAGTATGAATGACTTCTTTATACGTTATTGTAATACTTACTATTTCAGGTAAATATGCGTCGTAAAAGGGAGAAGGGTGCTACTACGAAAGCTAAACCTTCACCGGAAAAAAAACCTGAGAAGCTTAGACGTACTAGAAGTAAGCGTAGGAAACAGTCCACTTCGGATAATGATTCGGACAATGAGATAGTGCAAGCTCCTGATACAGTTAGTGTGACAGAACAAAACGCCGAAGAAACTTGTATCCAGGAAAAAAGTCCAGAAGATTCGCAGGACCAAGTATGGCAAGTAAAAACGGCTGAAGGAACAGGTGATGAAGGTGATATAAAGAAATTAAAAATATGTTTAACACGGCCACCATTAACTCCGGAAAGTTGTGATAAGTCTCCTAAAAGTAAGAGGCGTCATACACGTGCAACAAGTTTAAGTGATACTGCCAGCATTGAGGGATCTGATGAAAAAAAAAAGATCAAACACCGTTCAAAATGGTCCATCTCTGAAGTTAGTGAAACCTCAGAGAAAAAGTGTAGCCCACAGCCCAATGATTCAGATCAAGAAACAAATGTGCAGCCGGAAGTTACTAATGTTAATGTAGGTATTAAAGCTGATGAAGAAGAACCACCCAAGCAAATCCAACAGTCAGAGAAAAAGGAGGTTGAAAATGTTGCTAATGTTGATAATGTTGACAAGGAGCCAATCTTTATTGAGTCGGAAACAAAAATATCAGATGAAAGTTGCACACAAATTGAACAGTCTACTACTGTTGAGAATACTGTTAAAGATGAAGAGGATGAAACAAATTTATCCTCAGAAAAGGTTACTAGTCCTGAAAGAAAAAGAAGTATGTCAATAGACAAATCTGAAATCCTAGAAATACACGCTGAGGAAAGTAAGATTGAAATCTCTGAACATGGAATTACTGAGTCTCAGAAAGAAGATACAATGGGAGAAGAATCAAATGGAGGGATGACTCACATAGCAGAGGTAAGTAAAAATGAAGATAAAGCTGAGGAAAGTGTGGTTGAAAATACAGAACCTTCTCAGAATGAGATAAAATCAATTAATGAACCTGATGTTGTAGCAATAACAGAAAATTCAAGTTCCAAGGAATTAGACACTGAGACTGCAGCTGATGGTGAAAAGAAAATATTAGAAAACTCTGAATCTGCACAATCCAGTAATGAAGAAGCCGTGCTGAATGGTCATACAAATATTGTAATCAATAGAAAACGTAGGTGGGGCTCACGTCCAAACAAATTGTCATCTCAAAAGTCAATAACAATATCTACGGATGTGCTTAAAGAAATCATACCTGATGGTATAAAATTCTGAATAATTTTATATGAGTACTTTGTTTATATTTACTTGATTATTGCTTATTGATGCTTCATTACTTTTCTTAAAATTTTCAGCAAAAAAATTTAAGAAAAAAGAAGAAGCCCCAGCAAAACTTTTGGATGATTTATTCAAATATATTATTTTTAGTATGCTTATTTGTTGCAATATTAACTTTTAAAAATTAAAATCGACTTTTAATTGTTTTTAATTAGATTGCAATAAAAGAAGAACAGCGACGTCAACATATGGCTGAACATGAGAAGCGTTTGCAGGAATTACGACGCACACATCGCAGACATTAGCATGGTCCGTCCTTCACACGCTAACTCATACATACATACACACAAAACATTAAGGACATTCATTCATAAACTGTTTGCCATATATACAATACATAATTTTTTAATATCTTAAAACCATTTCGCCCTTTCTTTCAGAAGACAACTGATTTAGCTGTAACCAACTTTATATAAAATTTCAGATTGCTTTACAGAACAATATCTTGTTTGTACATTTTAGTGTAGTTAAAGCCTAGGATAAATATTGAAGACCCTAAAGGGACCGTAATTTGCAGAAATTGAATGGTTGGATTTATTTTACACAAAATGTTATAGAAAGGCACCATTGGAGGAAATCCTATGATTTTGAACGTCATCCATGAGGTCACGCAATCACTCGGTTCGACGTATGCTGATGGTGGAACTACGTTGGAAAAAACGATGCATTGAGATTGAAGTTATTTCTGAACTCATTCCAGTCATCAAAAGACTGTTGGTTGCTGTGAATACAACAAGCAATATATGGTCACTTTTCTTCAACAGAATCAGTGAATATACCATTCCAGAAAAAAAAAGCAATTAGCCCAGCAAAAGTTCCTTCAGCATTTTGGTGGTGATGGACCTTGAAGAATTTGTGGGAAATATATAATATGTGTGAAGTACGTAACATGGAAATCTTTGACATAAGAACTCTGAGAATGAATTGATCAATTGCAACGAACTATGTTAAAATCACTTCAAATTTGTAGATTTATTTTCATATGTTGCATGTATATACAGGGAGGCTTTATTAAAGGTGCCCAAATTTACACAGGAGGTTCAGACTCGGTAGTATAATCGAGTTTTTAGTTTTTTTTTTTCAAAAAATATACCATTCTTATCCTTAGAAAACAGAACTTTTTGACAACGCGGTAGTCATTCATAAATACCTAAATTGTACTGTTCACGCATACAAACGAACTTGTGTGAGTGTTACTTATGAATGATCGCGCGTAAAATAAATGAGTTGCCCATAAATCACGCACTTTTTGAGATAAGGGTTATTTAAAATGAATGTATTTCATTAATTACGAGTGATTTTAAACATTTATCATTTTTTTTTTATATAACATTATTTATGTCTAGAATTTAATAATAAAAAAAATGGATACCCTTAGAAAACCCTGTATGTTAATATGTAGTTTCCATCTACTTCAAGAAAGGCACACCGAATTGAGACTTAATTCGGTGTGCCTTTTTTTAATCTATTAACATAGTTTCGGAACTCTCATTTAGGAACAGATTAAATTTTTTTTGTATTGGTTTCGGTTCTACGCCTATGTGGTAACATACTGATTATATACCTTTTTTTAATTAAAAAAAAAACATTGCCCTTACCTCAGGATAATATTATCCTGTGTTGTAAGGACGTTTTACAAACATAAATTTCACGCGGACAAACATCCATATGCGAAACCACCAACTGTGGGTCATAAAAATAGTCGTTCCGTGCCGAAGCCAATATCTTGGCAACTGCGTCACGGAGTCCTCAATTATTAATTAATGATTATATTGGTATTGGAACTTGGACTCTTAACAACAGAGTCACTCTTCCAACTCCAACTCTTCAAAATAAAATAGAAAATATATAATGAAGTATTTGAAGTCTGTTTGTTTTTTTAATTAAATTATTTTACCTGTGTTATAAATATGTAATAGAGCCGTGATAGCTCAGTGTCCGGGCGCTCGCCTTTAATTTAATATACTCGAGCAACCTGAATTCGATCCCCGGTGTCAGCACCAATGAAATTGTCAATTTTAAGTGATGAATTATGACGTGCTCGGCGGTGAAGAAAAACATCGTGAGGAAACCTGCATATTTTCGAAATAATAACAAAAAAATATTTCGAAGATATGTGAAGTCCGAAATCCGCAGTGGGGCCGTGTGGTAGACTATGCCCTGATACCCTCTGTACAGGGGAGGCCTTTGCCCTCCAGTGGGACATGTATAGGCTGATACTTTACTTTTTTACTTGTATTATAAAGTAGTTAGTTGGAAGATTAAAAACATGGAGCAAAAAAGAAAATATACATTTACATGAAGGACGAGAATGTTTTTCGGCAGATAATCTTATTACATAAGACAAAATAATGTATCTCATTAAGTTCTGAGTTTGAGTTTGCCTACACTATCTATATATCTATTGATAGAAATCGACCTAATAAAATGATCATAAAAATTCAACAATTATCATTATCAATTTCAAGATATCAACTTATCGTAGGGATAAGAATTGTAATTTTATGATAGATTTGAGAACAGTCGTGTTGGCGGATACAAGCCGTCAACTGCTGCTTTATGATAAAACTGAGGTGAAGTGGATCGCAGAAACATTATGATGGTAAATTTCACGTTTTGTGATCGTTGGATTTGACGGAATGGATTGGATTATTACATGTAGCCTTTTTGTTTATTTTAGGAGAGTCGATCTTGGTATGTTCTGGTGCTATTGGTCGCTTCAGTTGCTGCGCAGAGCCCGTTTACTCTAGAAGAATTCGTAAGAGGGCAGTTTGCACAAAGAGGATTCAATGGAACATGGATTTCAGGTACTCACTTGATGAACGAATAGAAAAGGGTATTTCGTGTTTTTCTTTTTAGTCGAGTTACAGTTAAAACTTTTTGTAAATGTTTCAAGATGACAAGCGAGCTGGTGGTTCATCTGATGTTTAGTGATAACCGCCGCCCATAAATATATGCAACAAAAGTAGTACTGTAGACGTGTTGTCACCTTTTAATAAAATAGGGCCCCGGTTACCTCACTCACCAGACGAAATGCAGAAGTATTACACTTCACGCCTGTGTGTCTTCTGTGATGTTGGGGTACATCCCCGGACGGACGTGTCAATTCGTGCATCAACGAAGACTGTTGCATGGGGCACAGTTAAGCCTGACTAAAACTTGGATATTTCTTAAATTAAAGCAGTGTCTGAGGTAGACTTGAACATTGTACGTGCTGTGGTCAACGGACTGTGCAACCTTAGTATAAGACCCGGTGCCCGCACCAATGAAATTCATGTTTGCAATTTTATGTGCTGACTCATCACGCGGTCAATGGTGAAGAAAACTATCTTGGTGAAAAACCTGCATATTTTTATTATACATATATTATTATAACATATTTATAATAAAAAAATATTTCTCACATAGTATGTCATCCGCGGTGGGGTAGCTATGGGGTCATATAGAGACTAGCTTCTGACCCCAACTTCCCATGGCTAGCATATATTATTCAAAAATTTCACAGGACCATCCGCTAGGCTAATGTAGTCTGCATAAAAATTTTATGGATATCAGCATAGGAAACTTAATAATATGTGACATAACAAATGTTTGCCACCTTTTAATAAAGTGGCCTCCGGTTGCCTCATACAACAGACGAAACGCAGAAGTATAACACGCCGGTCTGCTGTGAGATCGTGGTACTTCCTTTGACGGTCCTGCCCATTCTGCCGGGAGTTGTTGCATGCTTCTACCAAAGTAAAAAAGTTGCGTGATTAACGTAAATCCCAATCACAGTAAATCAAAATAATAACAGTTAATTCAGTATATTACCTCTCGCTTCCGCAATTGTTGTCCGGACTGTTATGGCTAAATAGGTACCTAACTCGTAATTCCAATTCAATTCAGCCTTCAAGTATTGAATGTAATTTCATGTCATTACTTAGATTAATAAAAGTAAAATTTGCATTCCAGACACGGAGTTTACTTACACGATATCAGGGGAGCCTGGAATTTACGTATACGACGTGCCTACCCTTACCAGCAGAGTTCTTGTATCAGGTGAATTAATGGTTCGTACACATTTAAAACTTAAAAATATTGAATTGTATGGTGTCCTAAACTGCACTAAAAATAGCACTTTAAATAAAATTTTTTTTGTTTAAAATAATTGGTTATTTGTTGATTTTTATATGCGTAACATAAAATGATACATGTTATTTATATTAAAACGTTAAAGAATAAGATAATGTCGGAAACTAGTTGAGAATTATTTTACCTTCATGGAATTCAAAGTTGAAGCAATGAAAATACAGAGTTCCGCTTCTTCAGGAATAGTAAATATAAAATAGAGATTTACATCTCTCGAGATAATTTGTTTATTTTTTAAAGGTCCCAGATTGATTTAAGATTTAAAAATAAACATTTTAACTTAATTACATCAAGGATGGAAACAGGAAACCCATAAATAAATACACTTGAATGTTCTCACAGGCTTTTCTCAACACCAGTAACCCAATTTTATCTGCTGACAGGCAGTACATCTTAGCTCCTAGTGAAGTTGAATCCGTGAGTATACATGGCATATTTAATTTTTAATAAGATTAATATATAAAATTGAATAATATTTTTTATATTCATCGTTAATGTATATTTGCAGGTATTGTAAAATACATGTTGGACTATGTAAACATTTCCGTTTAGGTTGATTGATGGAAACATCAAATTTTAAGAAATTAATAATTTAATTTAATTAATTTAATAAACTCCGTGGCGCAGTTGCCAAGGTATTGGCTTCGGCGTTGGGGGACGTGGGTTCGATTCCCACACGGGACAACTATTTGTGTGACCCACAGATAGTTGTTTCGCATCTGGGTGTTTGTCCGCGTGAAATTTATGTTTGTAAAACGTCCTTTACAACACAGGATAATATTATCCTAAAGTAAGGGCAGTGTTTTTTCATAAATAAAAAAAAAAAAAAAAAAAAAATATGAAGTAATTATCCATTCTCAATTCATAATATTATAGACTTACATATTTCAACGTTGTAAAACATTTCAATGATATAGATTATAAGTTTATCTTAATCTGCCTTTTGTAATTTATATGGTTTGTTAATAACGTAAGCATACAATTGTATTTTACGATAATAATAGTTTATTGATAATTTTTAGGTTTACCGATATTCGACGACTGCTCGGTTTGCTCTATATGAAATAAGTACGGGGTAAGTCGAATAATTGTATAGTACCTGGTTTTTTTTTGTAATCATGTATTTTTGAAATAAAAAATAAATAAATCAATGATCTGGTATAGAAAAAGTAAAAAAAAAAATAAGTGTGTAAGTGATCGTGATACGAACCGCGGCCGTCCGTTTTGGGGCCGCCCGATTACTATTAGAGCTATTATAAAATTTTTTTTGCGGCGAAATTTAATGTCATATTCGAATGATATTTTTCATTCCCTGAAAACAGGGATAAAAGAGCATTTTCTAAAAATGAAACCTCGCTAGATCGATTTTTCGCCACCGAATCTACGCACATACTATATACATATATATATCTAATATATAAAATTCTCGTGTCACGGGGTTCGAACTTGAACTCCTCCGAAACGGCTCGACCGATTTTTACCAAATTTTATATGCGTATTCAGTAGGTCTGAGAATCGGCTACTATCTATTTTTCGTCCCCCTAAATGTTAAGGGGGTAGTCCACCCCTAATTTTTTTTTATTTTTATATAAAACTTTTTGTTTCTATTTTTTTATGACACAGCATACAAAAATACATACAACCCTAAATTTTCACCCTTATACGCAGACGAGCCGTGATAGCTCAGTGTCCGGGCGCTCGCCTTTAATTCAATATACTCGAGCAACCTGAGTTCGATCCCCGGTGCCGGCACCAATGAAGTTTTTAACTTTAAGTGCTGACTTGTCACGTGCTCCGCGGTGAAGGAAAACATCGTGAGGAAACCTGCATATTTTCGAAATAATAACAAAAAATATTTCGAAGATATGTGAAGTCCGCTAATCCGCAGTGGGGCCGCGTGGTACCCTCTGTATAGAGGAGGCCTTTGCCCAGCAGTGGGACATGTATAGGCTGTTACTTTACTTTTACTTTACTATACGCAGACGTAGTCGCGGGCAGCAGCTAGTATATATATTTATATTTGGGGAAAATACGAGGTCCAGGGCGGGCTTGGTAGTTTCCAGGCCCAGCCACACAGTCGACGGCCTATGGAGTGTAGAGTATAAGGAGTATTTCACGGTGGTAGGGCCACGCAGCAACCGGCTGCGTGGCCCTACCACCGGCTGTTGCACGAATGGATAGGCCCGTCCGGGTAAGTACCACGACCTCACAGAAGACCAACGTAAAGTGGGAGTATGATACTTTCGCGTTCATCTGGTGAGTGAGGCAGCCGGAGCCCAATTTTCAAAAGGTTATCAACGCATCTACAACCCTCAGGTGTAGCGGATGCCCATGGGCGGCGGTATTCACTTAACATCAGGTGAACCGTCTGCTCGCTTAGCAACTTTTCACATAAAAAAAAGTATTATCGACTATCCTATATAATATGTGAAAAGTGCCCATAAAACGGAATACACTAAGATGGCGCTGTCTGCACCATAAGTTCTACACTTCAAAGGAAAACGCCCAAACTTGTTACAACATTTCCTAATATACGATATTAATTAACCACTCTGGTTTTCCCCTTTTCTTGAACTATTACTAGTAGCGCCATTCTGGCCATGTATTGACTCCTTACTGAATTAATTTTTGTGGAAAATTTTTCGGTTAAAAGTTATGAACTACTCCTTATTACTTACTCTACATTCAATACGGCGGCTGTTCAACCGACTGTCTGTATATTGGACTTAAACGGACCTGAGCCGACAATTCTCTTTTTGTTAAGGCACGCATGTCTCCGTAAAGATCAATCACAAGACATGATATTTTAAAACATGTTGCTCCTCATTTTTTAATCGTTAAAACTTGGAATAGATACTGATACAAATATTTTTTTTTGTTTTTTTAGTAACGTGAGCTACATTGCCAATCACCAGCGGCTTCAGTTGTGCATTTTCGGCGGTGGACACTCCTTGGCTTATGTCTTGGATAATAATGTGTACTATCTTCCTGAGAATTCTACCGAAGCCATTCAAATCACAAGTGATGGTATCCCGGGCGTCATTTACAATGGCCACACGGATTGGGTATATGAAGGTAAAACAGCATAGTTTTATTTAAAATATATAATTATGTAATATATGATATTGATAATGTGAAATTGGTCGTATAGGTAGTAAGTACTACTACTAAAATGCTATCTTATTATAAGAAACATAATCTAAGGCAGGCTGAGACATTAATCGCAACGTTGACTTAGTCAAGTAGTGACCTAAGTCCCTTAGTAAGTGATAACTGTGGAACAATCTCGGCTGTTGCACGAATGGGCAGGCTCGTCCGGGTAAGTACCACGACCTCAAAGAAGACCGCCGTCAAGTGGAAGTATAATTACTTTAGCGTTTCGTCTGGTGAGTGAGGTAGCCGGAGCCCAATTTCAAAAGGTTCAACACATCTGCAACCTTCGGGTGTAGCTGATATCCATGGGCGGCGCTATTCACTTAACATGAGGTGAACCGCCTGCTCGTTTGGCAACTTTTCACATAAAAAAAACTCTGCCTCTTGCGCCAAAGGGACACTAACTTCTCCCCACTACTGGAAAATGTTGTGTGATGAACGTAGTATTTTTCTTGTGTCTGGGTGTTTATATATCTATAATATATATTTGTTTACAAAAGAAAAGTAGGTATAAGTATGTTATTTATGAGCTTTGCTGAGTTTAGTTATGTAAAAATATGTCCCGAAATATTTATTTATTTATTATCAGTATTATTTTATATAAGGATGTGGTTCAGAAAGTGTGGGCAAGATTTTCATGAATTAAATCTTCTGACTTAAATGTAAATATATTGGAAGTTAGAGGCCTTGAAGCTAGTGTTTTTACGATCTACCACTACGCTTCTTTAAAGTGTCATGGCGCTTGCCTCTCACGTCATATTTACATCGACACTATTCGTATACGAAAACTCTCTACAGTATACTGTAGAGAGCCACTAATTACGGAATCTCTCGTCATATTGGCACTATTCGAAAAGCTATAGACACAGTCGGTGATCGATTGGCTTGCCACGATACCAGATCACCCATTCCGGGAAGTGTTCAAGGCTTTGTTATTGAGATCCATTACTTATTAATTGAAAGGTGGTTCGTTTCACTAGGTTCGCCCAGATGAGGATATTGGAATCGTATTTTTTTTTTCGTTTGTCAATTTTACAAGTATCTTTGTGTCTATTTACAGAGGACGTTATGTATACCGGCCAAGCCACGTGGTTCTCAACCGACGGCTCTTACTTGGCGTTTGCCAGTTTTAACGACACCGAAGTTGAGAGTTACTCGTATTACTATTACGAGGATAAGAGCGATCCTGACGATTTGTACCCCGAGCTGGTTGACCTTAAGTACCCTAAGGTCAGTTCATAGTAGTTCCTATTTTGTTTAGCTTATTGTATGACTTTGTACTACTACTACCGTACTAGTAATACTTAACACATTCTTGATGAGTAATTATTTGACTCAATTATTTCTTTGTTCATTTTGTAACCATATCAAGGTTTTAAGCTAATTAAATCAATGTGTTCATTTGTATCTTTTAAGCCTTGAAATGAAAACTTTATACTTAATGAAAGTTATTCGAGTAGATCATTATAAAATTTTGTACTTAGTAATTCAATTCACATTAATGTTCCTTTCAAGGATACAGGGAAACCATATAGAAACTTCTTACTACTTTTATATGTTCACAAAAGGATCCTTTATAATCGACAATTCGAAGTTCAGTCTTCAAAAGTCGCTAATCTTTTGTGTTTATTATACGTAAAAAGGTCTTCCGCCAGTCAATGTATATATTGCGATAATTTCGTAGCTAGACTAAATAAATGAACCAAGAAAGTAAACATATTACATATATTCAACTTGTCCATGTTTCGCTGTAACCATTGAACAGAAATAGATAAAATTGAAACGATGTACGCGATACAATGTTACAGGTTGGTCGCACCAACCCCACAGCGAATCTACGTGTGGTTAACTTGACGGACCTCGTGTTAACCAACCAAGTGCGATGGCAAACTCTCGAGGCACCCTCCATTGTAACATCCGATCACATACTGGGCGGAGTGGTATGGCCCACGGCCAATGAAATTGCGGTGCACTGGCTAAACAGGCGACAGAATTATACCGTGCTAAGAATTTGCAACGTTGAAACCAATATCTGCGAGGTGAGTTTCCCAGTGAAAGGTAATATGGAGTAATCGCTTTTAGCTACGGAGGCCAAGATCCACGTCGTTATGTAGTTCGTTTTCATACATGTCATAAAAGTTTTTATTACAATTTACGATCTGATTTACCTATGTATAGATAGGCAAGGGCAGTTAAGTTCTTTTTTAAGTAACATTTTCAATAAAGATTGTGGTCGCATCGGCCGATCAGTGCGCAATCAATCAGTTTAAAACATAATAACTTAAAATTCACAGTTTCCTTTTTTCCATACCAACTTTCATAAGGTTATTTTTAAATAATTTTAATTGGTAATCGTAATCTATTACCGAGTTTTCTTGATAGATATAGACTCTAAAAAAATATTTATAAAGGTGATATAAGCGAATGAATAAACTTATGTTGTATAATTAGCACGTTACGTTAAAAAGCTTGTTATTCGCAAAAACTCGTCAAATAAACAGCTCTATTTTTTTTAATTGGATCGTATCACGAATAGTCATTTTAAATACTTAATACTTTTAATCATATTTCCGATGTATTCAGGAAGAGCATCGTCAGCAGCCTAACGGTTGGGTCCCTATCGCGTTGCCGCGCTTCAGCAGAAACGGGAACTTCTTCGTCTCGACGCGTTGGTCCCTCCGGCAGGCGGATGACAAAATATGGCAGCACCTTTACGTCAGCATCCGCGTCAACGGCCAGATCGTTTCGAGCTCCATCACCCCTGGCGCCTTCACCGTGAACAACTACGTTGGCATGGATGAAGACAATTTGTCGTAGTGAGTGCGGTCGCGCTTTGATATGATTTTAATTTGCTTAGTTTTGTTCACAATCGCTCATCATGTTTTACTTAGATAGAGACACGTGATCACTTACTATAAAGTGAACTGCGTCGTTTGCCATCTGAAAACTTAGAACACATTTCTTAACGTGCCCGGTCCATGTCATATACATAGTAGCAGTATTCAATACACTTTATATAAATACAATAAATTTATTAATCATCTCTACACATACATATGGTAAACTGTTTTATAACCGAATATTTTTTAAACGATTGCCTGACTAATTTAATTAGATATTAAATACAAATTAGCAAGAAGCTCATATATTTAGAGAATAATACATTAAGAATAAATGACGCATACTAGATGGCACCAAGCGTTGCTAAAAAGAAAAAAAAAAAAAGAACTTAGATAGATCTCGAGATTTTCGCGCCGTGTGGTCATCGGGCGCTTAGTATGCAGATTCGAATGCCGCAGCGCGGAAAGTTTTTGTTCATTTATCATGTACGAAAATCCACAAGATATTGAGTTGTTTTATTGGGAGGTTCTTCCCGTGGCCGTGTGGAAGGAGAGCAATACTTGCCACAGTTACTACACGCGGACGGTGGAAGGCACGCCGTGGCGGACCCAGGTGCACGTGTCCGGCGCCCGGGCGAACTGCCTCAGCTGCAACCTCGTGCTACCCGGCGGCGGTAACTGCACGTGGGCGACTGCCACCGCCAGCCGCGCCGGCACCTACCTCACCATCACCTGCTCCTCCACCGAGGAGCCCTCCGCCACGTTCCTCTTCGACCCGCTGGTGAGCAATCGAACGTTCCTGAACAGAACGGGGAGAAGTCCGTGGATTCCGTGGAGTACGTCATATCCGAGTTTTAGCTAGGAACCATCTACTTGATAAGATTGATGTAGAGCGTGGCAGTTTCTTTTAATAATTAAAAAGAGCAATGTAATAGGGCCCTCTGTTAACACTAAAATCTTTTCTACGCCCGATTTATCTTTACTGCTCCGTATATTCTTACTTTGTTCTCAATACATGTTTTAACGCACTAAGTTTGACCGCAGAATAGGCGAGTACTCTCGACTTGGGAGGACAACGCGGTTGTTCGCGAACGCTTGGAGGAAAAGATCCGTCCAGGCAGCATGATATTCACGGTGCCCCTGCAAGACGGCCACCCAGCCCCGGTTAGGCTGTGGCTGCCCCCCGGATTCAACGTTAGCGACACCAACACCAAATATCCAATGGTGTACTACGTCTACTCTGGGCCGAACACAAACACCGTGTTTGACACTTTCACAGTCGGTAAGTCGAATTTGATCGGGCTTTTTTTTATAAATCACAGCGTTAAGGCGCTAGTGATGCAGCAGATGGTAAGAATTTACTACCCATTGACAATTGGGTCCCTTAAAGCCAAACCTCCGGGTATCTTCATCACCAAACGCAAAAATATAAATATTTCTTTTATTGTATTTTATTCACATTATTATTGCTATTCATATTTTTGCGTTTGGGCCTGCCTGATTTGGTAATGCCGAAATTTTTTCGGCAATTTTTGTTAACTCTTATTTAACTTTAGCTTACTAGTCTCAACTAGCATTGAACGCAAAATAATCTTAAAAAACATACTTCTCCTTAATGATGGTCTTCTGTGAGGTTTTCGCTTTTTTGCTATTGTGTATACCAGGGAATGTAGAGTTTTGCGGACAATAATTTAAAATTACATTACAATTAAATATGAATTTTCCAGTTTGTAAAGTTGCTCTACCTTTTTTATGACCTTAATTAAAATATCGCGTTTATTATTGAGACTTGACATACTGAGAGATAATTTCGTGTGATAACTTTGCTGATTAACTGGATAAAGATCTTTCCATTAAAATTGTCTATTTGACAATAGTAGCCGGGAGAATGGGCGAACTATGCATGGAAGGACTCAGCTCATCTGCAGTTTGGATTTGAAAGTGAGATTTTATACAAGTGGCTAGTCGTGTATGATGCCTCACACACAAGATAGGGTTGTGACTTCATTTTTTATTACTTATGTTGTGACATCATTTAAAATAAAAACTAAACCTGAAAGTGTTAAAGTTTTGTCGCAGAGAAATAAATACGTTTGCAAAGTTTGAAAAGATCATAGAACAAAATCTTCGAACATTGGTTAAAACCTAAAAATTTTACCTAAGAGTTTTTTTAATAAGATTTAGTGAAAACAATTAATGAAAACCATAATACTTTCTTTATATTCTATATAAAACTTTCTGAAAGAAATATACCTACATAAGTATACTTCGCCGCTATTTAAATTTTGTTTATAAAATTACTATTAAATTTTGTTTATAAAAATACTTATTTTATAAATTACCGCGGTGAAGGAAAACATCGTGAGGAAACCTGCATATTTTCGAAATAATAACAAAAAAAAATGTATTTCGAAAATATGTGAAGTCCGCCAATCCGCAGTGGGGCCGCGTGGTGGATTATGCCCTGATACCCTCTGTATAGAGGAGGCCTCTGCCCAGCAGTGGGACATGTATAGGCTGTTACTTTACTTTTATAAAATTACACGAAGTTGAAGATCTGCATTGATTTTTTATTTTTTTTATTTTTAACATAGAGAGGTATACTGTAACGTAACATTATACTTTCATAATTATTATACTTTCACAATATTAGCTGTAGAGACGTTTTACGAATACAATATATAAACAACATAAAATACTCAGGCCCTGAATAATTACACTGGTTTACACGGTTTTCATACCCCAGCTAAAAGTTGTTATTTTGTTATTCATTTAGGTAGAATTATCCAGAAAAAATAATAAAAAACAAGTGTGTGCGTGTAACCTTTACGCGCGATTGAAGTAAAACTTCTTTGGCGTTGACGGCATATATCACTGAAATGATTAAATATTTAGTAACGTCATAAGTATATGTCATATTTTAAAAATATGACATTATACTTATGACGTTACTTCATGTATGTCATACTCCGTCTTTAATTCCGACCTGTTACTTCCGTCAGAAAAAATCTGAGTTACACCCTAGTCGCGCCTAAAGAAGTTTTACTTCAAAAATTCTGTCACGTCTGGTTTAAGAAATATTTATTAACTTAACTGAAATACATAATTTTGGTATTAATACTAAAAAAAAATTAAAAATGACAAAATTTTGCCTTCTTTTTATATCTATTTGAATCAGTTTCTTTTATAATGGACAAACAGTAATCCCCTGACATTTTTTCATACTAAAATCCTTGATGTCGTTCTTCAAAACCCTTTAAATCTTGGTGAAAACGTTTCCCTTATTCGTCACTCATACTTCCTAAGTAAGAAATGAATGGCATGTTTACTCCCATCTTTTGAAAATTTTCCAATAAATCGTTAACAATTTCTTTGTAATTGCAACAGGAAATCCAAAATAATGGAGATATGCATTTTTTAACGAATCTACAATGTAAGACACTCTTTTTTGAAAATATAAACTGTCCATAAACATAACAAAAACGATCAGAACTTTGTTTACACTTTCTACTCGACATTTTAAATCAATCCGAAACAAGATAATTGTGGTTTGAAGCGAACGAATAAACAATAAACTTTCGTCACCACCTTAGGTAGTTAAAAAAAAACATTTGACTTCAGGAAGAATTTGTGACGTGATAAAATATTTTTACTAACACTTTTTGGTTTAAGGAAGGTAGATTAACATATTTACATGCATTTATTTTGGGGTATAAAAAAGTTCAATTTTGTAAACTAGTGTTATCAGTATGTCATATAAATGCTTAACCTTGGAATAGAAATCACGACCAAAGGTGCCAGTGTCTTTAGTCTTAACAACTTCGCCAACTGCATTACCATGATGTCCATTTTTTTAATTGAATTAACTCTCTCGGACATGTAGGTTTTATTGCAGATCGTATTTTCTCTTCTGTTAGAATATTCATTCTTGCACTTATATGTTCCCATATTCAATAAAATAATTATTAGTGTAAGTTTCGTCTGAGTTCTGTTATAATTAGATCTCAATTATACAAATATATCCGTTCAAAATTATATAAGATGTTCGATATTCTCTAAGATTATTTTATATATATAGCAGCTCAGTAACTTGAGCGTTTAAATTCGCTTCGTAAATGTAAACATATTTCCGATTTTCGAAAACATCCCAACTGGTTACCGAGTCGACTTCTCCCGTATTGGGTGTTGTTTAATCTGGATTAATAAATACTGAAAAGGTTCTCAGTGTATTTCTCTTCTAGTTTTTGTATTTGGAGTAGTTTTGCACAATACTTTTATATATTAACTAACTGAATGTAATATCCACTTACGCGCGTGGAATGACCATGGTGTTTGTTTCTAGGGTACCATTCGTACATAACCACGAGCCGGAACACAATATACATGTTGGCGGACGGGCGCGGCGCCGGCCTCAACGGCCAAGATATTCTTTATTCGCTCAACAATGCCCTGGGAACTGTCGAAGTCGAGGACCACTTTGTTATTTTAAGGTAGATCCACACCGTGTTTTCAATATATATGTTTACGGTCAAAATAACGTTTCGTCGCATATTTCGTGGTCGTAAAGAGATATGTTTATTCGTCACCTTAATGCGTGTCCAAATGTGCTCGTGCGTTGTTCAGTTGTTATTTATTTCATAAGTATTTGCTATTGTAGTAAAATAGTTAAGTGATAGTAGCAAGGCTTGATGGAGACAACCATTACTCTAATGACATTGGTCTAAATAATTTTCAAAGGTCGACAACCAGCTATCAGCGTTTCTTAGCTTCACTTATATGAATGTGCTTCACTAATAATATTTGTGATGTAATAATGTAATGTAATGTAAGTGATCACTCCGACTACTTTTAACCTGCCGGAGTCCGTCTTTCCGTCCGATTACAACGAAGGCGTCTTCAAAGCAAGGGTAAATAGGTTTTTACACAGCTAGCGCGCTTAAAGGCTGCAGCGCCACTTACCATCAGGTGGGATGGCAAGTGCTGGCCAGTTGTAAATAAAAAAAAACCTATTATAATAATGCGCAAAGGCGTGCTACCTTCGAGACGGTGACACTTATGGATTACACCGCAGCCTTCTAACTATGCAATTGACATACTGACTTCTCGCTTGTGACATTAAACAAAGTATTCGCTGTGTTAGAGCGTAGAGGTCACTTCGTTGTGTGCACGGTACGTGGTGTTGAATGAATTAGTCGGCTCATCTGGAGAAGTACCAAGGCCGCATGAACAAGCGGCGTAAAGCACATTCCTCCTCGACGAAGGTCGAGAGCGCTAGGAAGTGTGCTTAAAGAATAATGAGGGAAGACTCTCTAACGCAAACTACCAGAGGTTGACTAGTGATGTGGGACTCCATGTTAAGAGGGGGATCACTTAATCGCATATGATATGTGTGCCACGCCGAATAAAAAAGTGGTATAAAAATACGGCAAGGACTAAAACGCAGCATTGTACTAGTATGGCCGATAGTTGCTGCAAGTTGCGCAAGATCGAAGGGGCCGCTTGAGCGTGAGTTTCATTGCAGGCAAGTGCTCGACCGCTACGGGTTCATTGACCGCGACCGCGTGGCCATATGGGGTCACAGTTACGGCGGTTACGCGACGCTGCTCACCATGCTGCACGACGAAGACCACCGCTTCCAGTGCGGCGTCTCCACTGCCCCGGTCACCTCCTGGCTTTACTACAGTGAGCCGCTCCGCATTGGACGTTGCACAATCGACAGCCCGGAAGACCTGTCGATAATTAACGGATTTCTCATTAACATTCATGAAACGACATAACGAATTCGTTATATTAATGTTTTGATTCTATTCAAATTATAATAATGCCGTAGTAACATGTTCCAATTATCCCCAATGCATTAATGCGTTAAAGTAGTTCCATAATTGCGTGCAGACATTCGTTTTCGGACGGATTATTTTATGTTTTTTTTTCGCAACCGTCAAATGTTTATTGTTTCGACAGACACGATGTACACTGAGCGCTATATGGGCCTCCCGACCGCGGAAGACAATCTCTCCGGGTACGAAGCGGGTGACGTAACACTCCTCGCGGAGAAACTACGAGGTCACGAATTCTACATTATGCACGGAAACGCCGACGACAACGTGCACTACCAAAACGCCGCCAAACTGATGCGGGCTTTGCAACAGCTGGACATACCGTTCGAACAAATGGTTAGATAGTTTATTCTTTATTTTTTATGCATTATTGCTAATGTAGAATAGCCCGTGTTGCACAGGCTGACAAACAAATATTGAAAATAGAAATACATAAACGGATATAAGAAAAACAAGAGCCGTGATAGCTGTGTCCGGGCGCTGGCCTTTGAAATACTCGAGCAACCTGAGTTCGATCCCCGGTGCCGGCATCAATGAAATTGTTTTTTCAAGTGCTGAATTATCACGTGCTCAGCGGTGAAGGAAAACATCTTGAAGAAACCTACATATTTTCGAAATAATAAAAAAAATATTTCGAAGATATGTGAAGTCCGCCAATCCGCAGCGGGGCCGCGTGGTGGACTATGCCCTGATACCCTCTGTACCGCGGAGGCCTTTGCCCAGCAGTGGGACATGTATAGGCTGATACTTTACAAGAAAAACAAAGGCAACATAGTTTCATAAAATAACCCTAGTTCAAGATTATTTTTTCCTGGACTGGAGCGATTTGTGACAATGTTAAATTGTACGTTTCATAAATAAATTAGTAAATTTAAAAAGTTAAGAACTAAATTACATAACTTAATTAAGTCAAGAGTTGGAATGGAATGATAAGCGTAATTATATAATTATATTACGATGAACGATTGACATGTAATTCTACGTTTAATTATTATCATAACTTTGTTCGGATTTTTTTATTATATTTTAATTTTTATTTTTTATTATTAGTTCGAATCCCTCATGGAGTCAGAGCTTGTATAACTAACAGATTAATGTTAAGGATCTTGCTTGGTGTTTGCCATTTACAAGTTAGTTAAAGGATGTAAATTTGAAAAATAAGTCATACGCCTTGTCTTCTCCGAATAAGTAACACTTTTAGCATAAACTTTGATTATAACCTGATTTTTATGGATCTTGAAAGACGTTTATTATGTCACTATGGACAATGTTATATTACGCAATAAGATCGTGAGAATATACTATAATTATCAGATAAAACTCAAACACTAACTTGAAAATATGTATGCTTTTATATATTGATTCATATGTGTTAGTTTCTTTTACGTGTGTAACAGTTTTTAATGTACACCGTCTTTACGGGTCTTCCTACTTCACCTATCTGTGAGGTTCTGGCGTCTTTTCTCAAATTGGTACTCAATGTGGTCTCGACCTGTCTCTTGACACCGTTGAAACTACTTGATGTTATTGTATAGACGCCAAGATTTAGAGCTTATCTTTATATCGTTCTTTAAATGTTACTACATTATGTTTTTGTTATTGAGAATTTTTTTAGATTCTTTCTTGACCTGATTATACCATATGTTTTACTATTACTTTATATTATAAATTGATTTAATTAATTCTAGTTAAATTTCAATATAATTTTCCTTAAAACATGGCGTATAATTTCCCTTAATCGTTCGAATGAATTAGCGATTAAATTTCAATGGAAATGCATTTCATGAAAACATAATGCATTATTTACTTTAACACGGTATTGTGTTTTCAAAACCCATTATTGATTATCCAATGCAGCGATAAGGAATCATAAGAAACAAGCGGAATAATTAGAAATGAATAAAAACAAAGCTGTGAAATAGAGTGTGCAAGCGTAAATTGTATACGAATTGCTTTATGATGCAGAAGAATGTTTATACCAAGTATTCATGATATAACATATCTCCATATTTCCGTGTATAAATGACAAATAGAAATAGAATTCTATATCGTTTGTAATTATAATTGTTATAGTTATAGATAGACGTAGTGACGTTTGAAGAGCTGGGGATGTATTACTTTTGAACCGAAATATTAAATGTGTAGAATGTCAATCAGCTAACTAACCAATATTACCTAAAATAATGACAGGTTACGTAACTTCAACACAAGCAACTTAAAAGGGATGTGCTTTGTATAGTCACAGATTTTATCGATATCGGCATTAAAAATGCCCGTAATGTCTATAACTCATCAAACCAATATGTACGGTAACTAAGCGTGACAGATGAGTAATATATATTTTTGTTTAAATGAAACTATTTAACGGATTTTATCGCGTTTTAATTTGAATTTAAATTCTTGACGTTTCAAACCCTTTCCAGCGTTCGTGGTTACGAAAATTTAAGAATCAAATTAAAGCGTAAAATAGTTTCATTTAAACATGTTTAATATTCAAGTGTAAATGATTATCTAATACCTGTATCAAATTCTTGTGTCGAACGAATGAAACGGCTTGACCAATTTTGATGAAATTCTATATGTATATACAGTAGGTATGAGAATAGGTTTATAACTATTTTTTAATCCCATAAGTAATGTTTCCCCTAAAAATAATTTATATTGCAAAAAAACGTTTGCTGAGTCAGCTAGTATTCTATATTCTATATACTATATGTTTCTTAAATTTTGCAGTCGTATCCAGATGAGGCGCATAGTCTTGCCGGTGTGAACATGCACAGGTATGCAGCGATGAACCGATATTGGGAGAAGTGCATACGCATGCCGCAAGAGTCTAACTAATTTACTTACGGTTAACACCACAAAGAAAAGGAACCTCGCCGTGTTGCGGAAAATAAATGGGACTAAATTCTTGTACAAATGCGCCGCGCCCACTGCAGGTTTTTTATTTTTCTGGTCAGGTTAGGCTATGTACGGTGCAAATTTTTTATACTTCGGTATAAGCTTGTATACAGCGTGTCGTTACCATCGCGACAATAAATGAACACACGTCTAACGCTACGAGCCAATAATCATAAAAAAATATTAACGTAAAACAAAATCCATAATTAAAAAAAATATTTTTCAAACAAACTAATTAAGTAAAAAAGAAACAAAATTTCTAACATCCTATACAACTCTAAAGCCTCTCCTTCTAACAGTATGTTTTGTCTCTTTTAAATTCATTCAACCCATTCATATGCTTTGTGACCTTTACAAATTAACTTTACGTTACGCTTTTATAGGTAAGGGTGTTCTAAAATTCTTTGTTTTGGAAAATGTAATAACTTTGTAAATATTGATGTTTAAAGAATTTAAACGTTTAATACAACTTTAAAAAGTTATCCCCTATATGTGTGTTCATTTATTGTCGCGATGGTAACGACACGCTGTATAATTGTGTGAATAAAACCTGCGTCGTTATATTTTTTCTACAAATTGAAATATGACCTTCATGTAACGTAAGACCGTAAAGGACATGTTCCTTTTACTTCCATATTCTGATGGAGCACCTCATACAAGTATAGGTTGTTAACCTTTATATTGTGTTGGTCTTAATAAAACCAGCCTATCGTGTTGTATCCCGAAACTAAACTTCAGTTTTTTGTGATTGTTAGTTAAATATATATTAAAAGTTTACCCACTTTTTGTTTAATTTAAACCTTTTCACATATCTAATTAAGTTTATGTATTAGCCTAGATGAAATGTTCACCGCAAAGTATTCTTTTGGTCACACAAAAAAAGAACACCCCTATAGAGATCCCGTTAGTATTTCTCGATAATCTATAATTCATCGATAAGCTCAACTAATAACAAATAATCTAAAATCTTGCTAAGTAATCAGCTAATTGATTAAAGTAGTAACAAGTCAAGTATTAACAGCTAAATATGGCAACTGCTTTTGGTTTTAAAATATAATTTCATTAAAAAAATGTTAAGTAATATCAATGTGTGGGACAAATATCTCCTCTGTAAAGGATTAGTGCCTAGTCCATCACGCAACCCCACTGCGGATTGGCACACTTTACGTATCTTAGAACTATTTTCTTTATTATTTCGAAAATATGCAGGTTTTCTCTGCACGTGATCAGTCAGTACTTAAATTGTTATTTCAAACGGGGCCGACACCAGGATTTGAACTCTGATTGCTCTAGTATATTAAGTAGAAAGCGAGTGGCCGGATACTGAGCTATCACGTTAAACAGTGGCTTCACATTTTTAGGGTTCCGTCCCCATAGGGTAAAACGGGACTATTACTAAGACCCCGCTGTATGTATGTATGTTTGTCTGTCTGTCTGTATGTCTGTATGTCTGTCTGTCTGTCTGTATGTTTGTCTATCTGTATGTCTGTCTGTCTGTATATCTGTCAGTCTGCATGTCTGTATGTCTGTATGTCTGTCTGTCTGTATGTCTGTCTGTCTGTATGTCTGTCTGTATGTCTGTCTGTCTGTATGTCTGTCTGTCTGTCTGTCTGTCTGTCTGTCTGTCTGTCTGTCTGTCTGTCTGTCTGTATGTCTGTCTGTCTGTCTGTCTGTCTGTCTGTCTGTATGTCTGTCTGTCTGTCTGTCTGTCTGTCTGTCTGTCTGTCTGTCTGTCTGTATGTCTGTCTGTCTGTCTGTCTGTCTGTCTGTCTGTATGTCTGTCTGTCTGTATGTCTGTCTGTCTGTATGTCTGTCTGTCTCATGAACCGTAATGGTTAGACTATTGAAATTTTCCCAGATAATGTGTTTCTGTTGCCGCCATAATTAAAAAACAGAGTAAAAAAGTATTGCAGTGGGGCTCCCATACAAAAGAAATAATTTTTTTTGCCGGTTTTATAGATCATGCTCATGATACGGAATCCTTCGTGCACGAGTCCGATTCGCACTTTGCCGGTTTTTTTATTAATCTGTGAAGAACAAGAAAAATGGGTGGTCTGTCTCTGCTCAATCGCTGATTGTAGCGACGACTCTCAGATGAGTAACCATTATTTTACTTGAAACTAAATAATAAACATACGACGGTCTGGTTATCGTGAACTCTGAATCTATTATATTCTATGGTTGTTGTTATCATCTGATAATATTGTGTTTTAAAGAAACAGTCAGGGGTCACGTAAACATTTTACTACATATAGGTATCGTACGTTTTATTATAAAAGTTTTATTATTTGTGAGTTATCGTATATTTATAATGCTTAATTATAAAAAAAATGTCATTGTCTTTGGAAAGATTTATATAATTTTATTACGTCTCAGACTCGTTTAATACTCGTACGTACATACCTACCGGAATGTAGAGTATTATACGAACCTGGAGGTCAACTTTCGTCTCCTTGACTGCGGGAGTTGATCTTTGTGTTTGTTACCTTACTGTACCTATGTTTCGTATGAACGTACATAATATTGTACCTAAGCCGAATAAACAGGAATAACCGTTTTCTTTTAAAGCTTGTGTTTTCCTATCCGTTAAGCGAAAATCCGATTTAGGTAGTAAAACTTTCTTTAGAATAGGTAAAATATATTAGTAGTGTTTACTTGCGGTATTTAAAACATGCCTAATTTTTACTTTCAAATGAAGTCTATAAAATCATCAATAGATGACTTACGGAGCTTATGTAATATTACATAAATGTGATATTACGCCGATATCCTCATAGCGTGAGAATCCCAACATCTATATGTATATTTTTGCATTTTTAGCAATGCTTGGTATTACCTAGTGCCTAGTTTTTCATTTATGCCAATGTGTGATGTGTGAACAGCAATATGGTTCTCACTAAAATGAATGTGTTTAATATTATAATGAATGTGTTTATTAATATTTTCGATGTTGAAGGATTAAAATTTTGTTTGTGTGACATTTGTTTCGTAATATAACTTTGCTAGTTAGTAATTCGCCAGGATCAGTGGCGCACTACTGGTGCCCGCAAAAAGTGAAAGGGGGTTGAATGACGTTGATTATACAATAGGCTTTAATACCATACGCCGAATGTCCAATGCAATCGCCCACAGTATAAATTTACCTTTAATGAGAAACTACATTTATTTTCGTTACGCGTAGCCACATTAAGTAAAATACTTAAAGTTTTCTACATTAATCTGCCCGATTTAAATAGATTTATACTATATGCTTAAATGTGAGCTTAATAGATAAATTGTTTAAATCAAAATTTTCCCTCTGATAGGATTCGGATCTGCGTTTCCTGGTTAACGCGCCAGAGCGAAGAGCTGATATCCTCATAACGTGAGAATCCTAACATCTATATGTATATTTTTGCATTTTTAGCAATGCTTCATCACCTAGTGCCTAGTTTTTCATTTATGCCAATGCTTAACGTCACCTGTGTAACTTTACAGTATGACGACATTTTCGAATAACATTTTATAATGATTATTTAAACAAGAGGTGTCTTTCCTATTGCAATTTTAACGATGACGAAAATTATTCGACTATGTATGTAATAAACCCACACTTATGTTGAATTTTTGTACAGACGTGAACTAAAAATAGATAAAATAATACATGTATTTAAAGTATAATACTTAAGTCAAGTTGCGGTGTTTAATTTTACGTTTGAGTACGAAATATACCTTTTATAGCTCTATTATAAACATTGGCGTATCTAGGGTTATTTTTCAGGGTGGGCCTGGGCCTTAACCGCAAAAAAATCAAACTATGCGTCGCATTATAAAAGTAACAGTTCATTATCGTTAATGATTTTTATTAATATATAATAGTAGTATTAATTAATTAATAGTTAGTACGTTGTGTACAGTGTTTAGTACAAGTAAATCAACGGAATTTGTTGTTAAATAGTATATAATAAAAACTAAGTATCTACATAGATTTCCCGGCTGAAGATAATTATTTGATTTCAAAGATTTTATGAAGTTTCTTAGGTTTCAGCCTAGAATTTCGAACCGGTAACCTAAATCCTGGGGTGGGCACTATATGATACTGGGGTGGGCATAGCCCACCCGGCCCCCCTGCTATATACGCCTATGATTATATATAAAGCTAACACTGAAATAGCTTCATAATTTATCCTTTTATGTGGTTACAGGTTATCTGTATTGTAAGTGTGAATTAAAATGTTTCAAAAACATTGACCTGGACAGAGGTGTAAAGCTTGGAACTTTACCTGGTTCCCTTCTAAGGCATAATATAAGAATAATGCAGATTTTGCGGGCTATACATAAGTAATAAAATATATGAAGAAGGTTCGTTCAGATTGTGTGGGCATTCGAACGGTTCCAATGTCTTCAAATCGATTTTACCCGTCTTTATTTAAAATGTGTTCTTGCTCATATATTTACAAAGAGATTTTTAACTTATGGTTCATTTTACGGTATTTTTAATGCGCAATGCGATCCTTAAAGACACTTACATAATCACTTATCACCTGGATCAAGTTTCACTTTACTAATGTGTTGCTCTTTCTTGTTTTTTTAAAATTCTAGTAGAGTCAGTGAAACGTAAATTTTAATTATAATTAGCTACATGCAGAGGTTTATTGTACCCGTTTATTCCATGATTATGTAAATTGATGAGTAATTTAGAATGTAACTATGAATAATCTTAATTTATTAATAGAAGTACAAAAATTGTATAAGCCGAACCTGCCGAAATAGTAACTATTGTAAGGACATAAGTAACGATAAAGGACACTACGTCTACTATATATAGAACAGAAATATCGACAGTATTCGCGAATGTAATCTAAATAAATATTTATTTTCTTATTTGTTTAGATTACCTTCATAATACTCATATAGTTGACGAGACTACAATTAAATGGAATAAAAGTATTATTTAATAGCTTGCACCCGGAATCAAATTTTTTTTAACGTAAAATATGATCATCGAGAAAGTTAGAGCAAATATGTCTTCTTATTATACCAACTACTGTTCACAGCAACTGTTGGTTTATTTTTGTTTATCGAATTTATATTTGAAAGTTATTGTATAACACGTGCTCACATAACAGCTGAGAGGTGGGCTACGTCATTCATGGCTTACGTCACTTTATACTTCAGATCGCGCATGCTATGCGAATAACCGGGCAAGTTGTAATGGAATATTGCTGATAGTCAAATTCAAGGTCATCGGATGACGGAACTGAGTTTAGTAGTGTTATAAAAAATTTAGAGCACTTGTAAAGATATCAGCATCTTAATGTAATTTAAATGCGGGATATTGTTAATTTGTGACTAGTTTAGCAAGAATTTGAAGATTTGAAAAGGTTAATGCATATTATGAAAAAATGTAGACTATTAGGTTTATTAATGTTACTTGTAGCATTGGTGTACCAGTTCATAAAACTTTTTGTTAATCGGCTTTTTATTACCGTGCTTATAATAAATTGCTTAGTGAAATTAAAAAGTAATTCAGATTCTCGTAGAGCTTCCCAACTTCTACCTCTTATAGATTTTTCTGATATTTTTTTTTTTTTCGTCTCCCTCCGTTTTAACTTTGAGGACTGTCATGGCCCTTACTCTGAAAGGAAATGAAATTAAATCGTTTATTCATCCAAATTAAATTTCATCTAATTTTCATTCTAAGTATTTTTTTTAAATCTTCCACTGTTTCGTAATGAGGTTTCTCTAACGGAGAAGAAACAGGCGAAAGAAACTCCGTAGGTATCCTCTTTTTTGTCATTATTTTTCTCAATATATTAAAATATTATACAGTATATATCATATAGTATATTTTACAGTATCGTGAAATCAAAGTCCTGTTTTATTCTCACAATAAGATCGGCAGGGATAGCCTCTTTAGATAAAAGGCCTTAGGTTAGGGATTCTAACACCCTTTGTAGACAAATTTAAAAGGGAATTAAAACAACTAAACGAGAGTATTTCCTGAAATAAGCTAAATCTTTACGAATACTTGAAAGTACAGATATCGTGGGAAGTGGAGGTGTAAGAAAAATAGTTAACGAGCGCATTATGAGCGAAAGTCCACGTTATTTTTTTTATGAGAAATGGTGGCAAGCGAGCTGGTGGTTCACCTCATGTCAAGTGATAACTGCCGCCTATTTACATTAGGCAACACCATTAGGGTTGCAGATGCAATGCCACCTTTTAATAAAATGGGCCCCGGTTACCTCACTGACCGGACGAAATGCTTCTTCACGCCAATCTTCTGTGAGGTTGCCGTACATTCCAGGACGGACTTTCCCATTCATGCAACAGCGAAGACTGTTACGTGGCCCTACCACAGAGAATAAGTTCACTGAAAACGACTCGTCTATGAGCTAAAGAAGGTCAATTTAAATTTTGCTAGATGTGAAATGAAGACCTCTACGTCGCAGCTACTATACTTCTTAAAAAGATTCAAGTAAAGTAAAAGCTGATACATGGCCCACTGCTGGGCTTTTTATTATTTCGAAAACATGAAGGATTCCGTACGATGTTTTTCTTCACGGCTGGGTACTTATTATTATTATTATTATTACATGATAACTCAGCACTTAAAACACATACTACATTACGCTTACTGCATTACCGTATTACATACTTAATCAAACACAAACACAACTATACACAAACACAAATTATACAGGACATAATATTAAAAAAAATTGAGATTTATATACGCCAATATGAACGACTACTTGCAATCGCCCATTCATAATCACACCTCATTAACAATCAAATGATTGTATTGGTGCATTAAACGTTTTTTGGTAGGGGGGGGGGGGGGGGGAATCTTCAAAAGATACCTTGTCACCTTACATGATTATTTTAATAATTATATGATTTACATAGTTGATATTGAACAGAGCTTAAATTCATTTGGAATGTAGAGGCCATGATGACAATAAAAAGCTTACATTTATCAAAATCATAACATATTCTTACTTAGAAGACTGGAAGTCGTTTATGAAAACAAAACATTTATTAAATAAAAATAATCCCAAAAAATTCTGGAAACCTAGATACCAAAACTTCGAGCATGCAATTTAGCAGGATTTCGAATAAAGCTCAAGAATTCATAAAGAAAAAAAATCCCTAGATGAGTGTAACGACTCTAAAATCAATTGCTTCTAATGTAGTTATTGTTAACATAACATACTACTAGATATTATGCATCCGTTGTATCCTTACCCAGACGGTTTTTATGGTTTATGATTTTATTTGAACCTCATCGTTTTAAGGTTTTTCTTTTTTCACAGTTTTCTAATAACAGGCGGGTGAATATATGCAACTTAAAATCGTAATCTGTGAAGGGAACTTCTTTCAAAGTCCTGTGCTGGACTAAATGAATCACAGGATATTAGTTCTGTTGAGCCAAAATAACAAATCGGTCACTTACTCACGTACACATACCCGCCCGTACTCTCTTTTATACATACATACTTACCATTCAAACACAATAGTGTACCTATTTGCCGTTTACCTATGTATATTTTTAAAACTTTTCTTTAATTTTAATGAATTTATAGTCTTAACTTAAAATTTTATAATTTCTATAGTTAAATTCAATTTCAATGACGTCATTCAAAATGAAAATTTATTTAATAAATATAGTCTGTCCCGTGACCATGAACGCTGTAAAGGGTTCAAAACGTCGGGAACTAAAATTAAAAATAAACGCGATAAATCCGTAAAATTAGTTTCATTTATAATGTGTAATCGCGTAAATACAAGAAATTATTAAATATAGTTTTATTTGAAGCACTTATTGAACGTTACAAACTACCACCAGTGACCGGAGAAGAACCGGCAAGAAACTCTGCGGTCTTGTTGTCTCTTATTTTTAATGATTCAAGTATACAAAATTATTTAAATATAAAATCACCCGCAGCCACGGATCCTCCAAGCAAGAGTCATTTCCACACATCCTTGTCCTCAATGTATTCTTTGACATTATAAGAGGCCCTTGCTAATAGGGTAGTTTTATAAAAAAATTTAAATTCTTGTTTACACTTTTTTTTGTTGATGATATCTATTTTATTATAACGACCAAGAAACGACTTCGTGATTTTAGACAGTCTAAAACTCGGTATTTACAGAATTTCCTTTCGCCCACAGAACAGGAATCGACTCGTGTGGGGACTTGACAGAACAATTGTTATTAGGATCACGCTGAATAAATTTTATTGTTATTTGAATCATTATTATTTAAATAATAACAAACGTATAGAAAAACATAAACAATGGATTTTGTGTCGTAACTGTCGATGTATTAATGATACTATAAAAGCCAGAAGAATCAGTAACATATAGCATAATGACTTCTTCCGCGTACCTAGTTACTGATTAATTTTACCTTGTAATTACTAAAATATATGTTGTTATGATACACATAACGACCTCGTGGCTTACATTACCATTAATAAATGTAAATAGATTAATAGAGGTTCATTTCTTTAAATACAAGGAATTACGTATGGTAATAACTTCGTCATCATCATCATTACTTCAGCCTGTTTGAGTCCACTGCTGAACTGCTCCCCCACAGGCTGCCCGATCCTGAGATACCTGCATCCATCGACTTCGCGCAAACTTGCACAGGTCGTCACTCCATCTAATATAATATATCACTCTTAGTAACTTACTATTTTTATTTCCGATGCGTACCTAAAATATTCTCAACCACTCAGTCAAGCTTTGTTAATATACAGGTAAGAGTGTTCAGAGTTTTTGGTTGAAAACAAACTAGGGTACACTGAGGATGGTAACTGTAAACCGTGTTATTTCGTAGTTCGTCAACACGCTGACTCGCCTGCAAGGAATTTACGTTCAATCCCCGTGACTTATGACTTATGACGTGCTGTCAAAATGACGATCAAGATGCCGAGAGCCGGTTTTCGGTTCTTTCTTCCATTCCAACGTCCCATTGTTCTAGTTGCGGTGGGTGGGTGCGAGGCGCGCGCGCACTTTAATCCAGCGAGCGCTCACTGACAGTGAGCGTCCGCACGGCTTACGGGTCGACTGTGCGCGGAATCTCCCGCGCAGTTTCAATTCGCGCGAACTGTTTGTGATGGTGACTGATTGAATCACTTAACTCATTGAGGAGAGCTCGTTCCCGTGTTGTGTCGAAGATTGCTCGCGTAAAATGGTGAGTCTGAAGTGCGAGGCGCGGTTGACGTATTAGCCGAATCGTAACAGCCGAATTTTCCGATACCTGTGTGCATGTGAATCGCTGTACTTTTAACTTTTGTTTTTTTAACCTTTAACACTAATTAAGAACGATAGACTAGTGATGATAATATTACGCACAGCTATTCTGGTTTGTAAGAAGTTGTAGAGGTATCAGCGGCTGTGGTAATCGTAAAATGGAGTTTTAATTAAGTTTTGTTATCATAAGACGATTGCTACGATGAAAATATAAGTAAAGTTTATATAAAGATCCGGATTGAAAAAGACTAAGATCATAATGAATGTGTACTAATTTTTATAGTAATGAATACTCACTAAAATTTGAACAAACACATCTCACTGCATTTAAAAGATCACGATGACAGTTAATCAATAATAACTTCGAGTGATTAAAAATAATTCCTTTAGCAAAATAAATGTCAACAAAGTTAACTGTGAATGTCGCCTACTTCATTTTGAGCGTCTTTTTTTAGCTTTGATGACGGGTTTTGCCTGAAATATTTCATTTTTTTTAAGACCCCGCAATAAAATTAAAAACAAAGAATTTCCGCAGAAATTAATTTACTCTCTTTCGTTTTCTTTCTTCTCAGTATTCGAAAGTTCGTAGCGTTGAGTAAACATCACAAACATACGAATATATTGTGTAAACTTCGTCCTAAAGACAATTTATAAATGAATGTAGCTCCTTTCCCTTAAGTCAATACCAACTTAATTGCAATTTGCACTTCAATTAACATTAACACTTATGTGAGTTTTATCAACGGCAACTACTTCCTATTACAAGCATGTAGGTACTCAACGCTTACAATTCTTAATTTTATAAGTATTTTTAACAGAATTAAATATTATAAATAAGAGAGCAGAAAATATTATTTTATACTTTTCAATAATCATGGTGTATAGATAATCAAATTGCTGCATGATTTTTACCATAGTAATATGAAATCATTACAGAGATGTGTAGAGAGTAACTGACTAATATCGTAAACTTAGTGATAGCGATCGAAATCTTGGTATATGAGAGACATTTTGAAAATATGGTATATGAGAGACATTATGTGGTGGGAGGCCAGGGTTTTGTGGGATTCTTTCTCCGTAAATCGCACTCGGTGCCAAAATGTTTACAGTTTCAAGTCACTCATCTATAAGTTTGAATTTGATAATACAATTCGTGGCGAACAGTCAGACAAACAACAAAGCGAGTTAATAAAACTTTATCAACATTATAATTTCTGGTATTTACGCGAATAGACATTTTTTCGCTTCAGCTCCATCCGATGTTATGGGATATCCGCCACCCATGGAAATTTGCAACACCTGCAGGATTACAGATGCGTTTTCACCTTTTAATAAAGTGGCCCCGGCTACTTCACTCATCAGACGAAACGCAGAAGTTATAGTATGGGAGTATTACACTTCTGCGCTCTTCACGCCGATCTTCTGTGAGGTCGCGGTACTTCCCCGGACGGACTTGCCCATTCGTGCAACAGTGAAGATTGTTGCGTGGCCTTACTCCAATAAGAAATGTCAAACTAAATTTTGTTTGATATGCTGCCATCTAGCGGTTTAGCGGGCAGCTTCAAAGGTGTGACTTTTGTGTTACATTTTAAACTTTCTCTCTCATTATTTTTTTCATAACGCGCCTAAAGAAGTATAACTTTAAAAATATTTGACTGGGGCTCCCATGGATTTTGTGTAATTTTTATAAATAATGGTACGGACCCCTTCGTGCGTGAGTCCGACTCGCACTTGTTTTTATTAATAGTTTTGACCTTGAGGCCGAATTCCTAGCTTGTATGTTATCGAATTCTAGGCATTCGAAAACATTTTTTCATTAATGATACCACAATCTTATATAAATCCATGACTTCTATAACATTCATTAACTCAGATGCGTGTAAATTCTAACTTTTTTTGTAATAACATGGTAGAGTGTCGTTATTAGAGTTATTCTATACTAGGTACACATAGAACTTTTAGAATAAATATTTTGCGTGGTAGCTTAAGTCATTAAGCCTACGCTCGAGTTAAAAAGTTGAAAATTCTATAGCTATGTAGTTTTTTTTTAAGTGAGAAGGTTGCAAACGAGCTGGCAGTTCGCCTTATGTTAAGTGATAACCGGCGCCCATTGATATTTGCAACACCCGTAGGGTTGCAAATGCGTTGACACCTTTTTATAAAGTGGGCCTCGTCCACCTCACGCACCAAACGAAACGCAGAAGTATAACTGTTTCACTTCACGCCGGTTTCCTGTGCGTTTGTGGTACCTACCCGTGCAATTCGTGCAACGGTGAACACTGTTACGTGGGTCTACACAGAACAAAATTTAAAAAAAATCGCGATTCATTAATTAATAACTACACATTTAAGATCGAGCAATTTTGTTTGCAAATAGTGCACAGCGTCTGTATGGTTAAATATAAGTTAAGTAATCGATGACTCCGTGGCGCAGTGTTCGATTCTCACACGGGACAACTATTTGTGTTACCCACAGATAGTTGTTTCGCATCTGGGTGTTTGTCCGCGTGAAATTTATGTTTGCAAAAACATCCTTACAACACATGATAGATAATGTTATCTTAAAGTAACGGCAATGTTTAAAAAAAATGTTTAAGCCATTTTAATCTATTGCAATGAATTGAGTACTTAACCTAAATAAATAGGTACCAAACAAGAATAACTTTTTGAATTAGAAACAAAAATTTTCCTTACAAATATAGATATGCATAATATTATATTAATTATCATAATCGTTACGTCTTATTAGTGTCTTATGCCTTCATGTTGAAAGCGACATAATTTGCGACATGAAACATTTAGTCTTTAAATGTTTTGTAAATAACTTCTCAAAAGTAAATTAAAGTGTTTTCATATGTTACACTTGTTATCTGGATCTAACTGAGGAGCAACTAAATAAACTTGAGCGGCTTCAAAATTACTGCATAAGGTTTATATTTGGGTTGCGAAAGTATGACCAGATATCCGAATTCCGCCATAAGCTCAAGTGGCTCCCGATTCACCTTCGCAGGAATACTCATATTCTTCATCTTTTTTACTGCATTCTGTTCAATCCTACCACTCCTCATTATTTAAAGGATCGATTTATATATCTAAATTATTTATACTGTTTTTCTCTCCGTTCTCAAAAAGGAGAGGCTTGTAATGCATCGCATTACAAGCCTCTCCTTCTAACAGTATGTTTTGTCTCTTTTAAATTCATTCAACCCATTCATATGCTTCGTGACCTTTACAAATGAACTTTATATTAAAGTTTTATACGTAAGGTGTTCTAAAATTCTTTGTTTTGGAAAATTTGATAACTCGTTAAATATTGATGTTTAAAGAATGTAAATCTTTAATACAATTTTAAAATGTTATCCTCTATATGTATGTTCATTTATTGTCGCGATGGTAAAGACACGCTGTATAATATTATGTATTACTATGTATGTATTTTTCTTAATATTTATTTAGTACACCCCTGCCACTTTCTTCTTTTTATGAATTTCTCTGCCCTAAGGTTGCCTGGAAGAGATCGCTGCTTAGGCGATAAGGCCGCCTGTTGTACCCGTGTGTTTTTTCTTAATTATAAATACTGTAATGTTTCTTGGTGTACAATAAAGCAAATTTTACTTTACTTTTACTTCTATGTTGATTATTATAAGATATTTATAAGTAATACACTTTGATTTAACGGTGGTAGAGCCACACAGCAGCGTCGGCTGTTGGACGAATGGGCAGGCTCATCCGGGTAAGTACCACGACCTCACGGAAGACCGTCAAGTGGAAGTATAATACTTTCGCGTTTCGTCTGGTGAGTGAGGTAGCCGGAGCCCAATTTGCAAAAAGGTTGTCAACGCATCTGCAAACCCTCAGGTGTAACGGATGTCCATGGCGTCTGCTCGTTTGGCAACTTTTTACAAAAAAAAAATTATTCACCCAGTCGTTTTGCAACATTGTTACAATGTCTATTAGCACTGGACAGTGCACTATCCACGTTGTGCAACTTGCTCGAACTCCTTAACCACGAGTTTGCAACATATTGCACCTGTTTGGTTCTGCAAGGTTTATAACCCGAATAAATTTAGAAAGTCATTAATTCGGTCTATATCGAACTAAGATTGATACCAAAAACCTGATCAAAAAGAACTTTACGCACCTTAGCATATATATATATATATATATAACATAATACTTTATTATATCTCATTGTACAACCGTCAAACTATAATTACTTATTAATTAATACTAATTAATTAATTAATTAATTAATAATACTTATTAATTGAGCCGTGATACCTCAGTGTCCGGGCGCTCGCCTTTAATTCAATATACTCGAGCAACCTGAGTTCGATCCCCGGTGCCGGCACCAATGAAGTTTTTAACTTTAAGTGCTGACTTATCACGTGCTCCGCGGTGAAGGAAAACATCGTGAGGAAACCTGCATATTTTCATTTCACTTTATAGGCTGTTACTTTACTTATTTTTACTTAATAATTAATAATTATTGTCAAGTGGGTAAGAATTTTCATGGTGATCATCGTGATGAGAGTCGTGAGGGCTTGTATTAATTATTAATCCACTAATAATAGTACAATACCATTTATATGTTTTTCTTATATTTTGCAGGCGCACACATTTGTTACGCTTTTGACGTTGACTTTGATGGGCTGTCTCACCGAATCATCGATATTCTTGCCGATCGTTCCCAAAACGCTTACACTGGAGGAAATATTTCCTTTGCCACCTGATTTTTACCCAGAGAGGGTAGAGATAGATTGGATCTCTGGTATGTATTTATCACAACATGTTTGAGGGTTACAATGTGATTATGTTTTGCTAAACGAAAACATGTAATGCTATGAAGCTTTACAAACTTAAGATCACGGATTATAGAATACATAAACATAGAACTATTTATGGGTCACTAAACTTTTTGTCATCTGTGGGTATCGAATCCACGACCCACCATGTAATGACTGTTAGCGACGTGACCACTTTAAAAATTTGCGCTTTCGGTACAGTTAATGCATGTGTTTTTAATAATGTCCCGCTAAACTAAAAGGGCGAGGGATTTTAATTGAATTTTTTACGACATGAGTGTAAAACATATTAAGTGGATAGTTAGAATGTAACGGTTCGGAACGATAAAGGATCGCGTGCGGTTTTATATATGACCTGCAAGAGAATGTGTTACAGCGATCCGTTATAATCTTTTCCGAAGGACGAGTGTGATATGAGTCATAGGTATTCGTCCCAATTCTTTTCCAGTTGGCATTCAATCGAATCCTCTTATAGTTTTTTTTTGTTGAAAGTAAACATAGTTTTGACATCACTTGGTTTAACTTCAGATACAGAGTACGTAGTGAGGGAGCATTATATGGACTTCAGAAAATACGATGCAGTTAGGGATTCATTCGTTACCATTCTAAATGAAACGGACTGGGTAAGTTATATTATATTCTAAAGCGCTTTAGCCTTTCTTTAATGGTTGATTTATCATGATCAGTCTCATTTCATAATTTATATTTTCACAAGCGACAAGCAAAGATTAAAGAACTAATTGGTTCATTGTTAGTGTTTAAGTTTTTGGAAGATGATGACAAGGCATTGTGTAAAATTCTTAATAGCTACATTTGTTTGCGTAACTGAGGTACACACGTCTTGCGGTACAATGGTCTTACGTATTTATAACATTGGTATAAAGACGAAGCTTAATTTACTATTGCAAAGTTTAAACAATACAGACACAAGGCTTGCTATTTTAAGATGGTTATCAAAGACTCGGCGTATGTAGCAACATTTTAAAGCTTCACATTGTCTAATGACCCAAAGACGTGCCGAAGCAAAAGTGGGTCGCAGAAGATAACTCCGCATTCGAGATGCGTTAGAATAACTGGTACATTAATATAAAGGACACGGCGTATTTGTTGTTATGTATATCAGGCGTTCTAGCGTTACTTGTATATTTTTATATATGTGCAGTGTTTTATATATGCTTTTGTCACTGATTAGTTTTATTCTGAAGAGTGCACGGACTTGTTTATCAGTTATGAGGTAGAAGAAAGAGGTTAAAAGTTAAGACCATGCACCTTTCGCAAAATGGTAGGCCTTAGTAGCTTGCTCTTGTGTACTGGCTTCCCAAAACGTTCTAAATTTTTTTTTGTAAATAAGTTTCAGTACTAAGCATGACAAACTTTTGTACTGCTATAACGTAGTTTGCACAGTCGGAACTTAATTCGTGTAGTGTTGTTCAGATAAAAAAGTCGATGGTGAGAATTTCGTATTTTATAGTAAGAGTGAAAATTGTTTTACAGAGAGCATGACTAACAATCACGTTTGCATATAATGCAAGCTAGCAAAGCAATCTTACGAATGTTGAAGTTGCCTATGGGCGGCGGGAATTACTTACGCCAGGTGAAATAAGAAAAAAATACCTTTGTTATCACAGAGAAATTCGGGTGTGGTGGCCAAAAATACTTTAGAATAAAACATTTTGAAATAGGGAATTCCAACATTACGACCTCACTGTGGCATTAGATGGTTTTAAAATAACAAACCATTTTTTTCGCAGGTCAATTTACATCATTATGCAGTTTCTTCGTATTCTAAAGACCTTAAATATTTTTTACTAGCTGCAAATTTGACGAAGGTACGTAACAGTTTTCATAAAGTAAAAGTTTTCATTAAATAGTCATCTTTCTACTACTACTTTCACTAATAAATACGCTTATCGATTTTAACCGAATCACATGCTCTGTAAACATTTTAACAGTCGTTTAAAATTCATTAAAACCAGAATGCAGCGATCACTCAAAAATTTTTGTGTTTTATTTGTATTTTTGTATTTTAAGGTTAGGTTTTTTCTGAAAATATACTGTTCATATTTTATTATTAAAAAGTACGATTGCTATTTCTTTGAAATTATGGTGTACCAGTTGTTAAGCTATAAGTTTCGGCATCGAGAGTCGTAGATTCAATTCTCACATGGGACAAGTATTTGTATGACCATCAGGTGTGTTCCGGTTCTGGATATTTACTTCCAAGTAATCAGGAAGATGAATGTTCATGTGCACTCAGGCCAATAGCGCTAGTAACATGATTCATAAATAAAGGCAGGCGAAAGGAAAGGAGTGCACATAGAAAACACGAAACAGTCTTCTTCATTTTGAAAAGAAACTTAGAATTTTACAAAATTTTCTGTTACTAGAGCGTTGTCTAAGTGTTACAACGGTTCTTGTTTGATAACGATGCTTCAAAATTTGCAATTGTAATATTAAGAGCAGTTCGTTGTAGCAGCTCTTTCAAGCCAAAGGTCAAGGTGTTTCAATCAGTACTTACTTTTGCAATTGATAATATTTAAATTGAGGCCATTTAGAACAGGCCACGTTTTATGAAGGCCCTCGTGCACATAATCGTAAAATTATAGAAACTTATGTTTATTTCAGGTGTATAGATATTCGACCTTAGCCGACTACTCGGTGTACGATATCGAACTGAAGTAAGTAACAAAATTGTCACATTTTAGTGATATTATAATAAAGAATTACACAATTAACTTAAAAAGTTAGTTAGTACAATTAACTTAAAAAAATATATGGATAATAGGATAAATAGACTCCTGTCGATTGAAATTTTAAGTTTTCTTAACAAAATAGTTATGTAACTTTTAATTATCTTTTGGCAATTGAGTTGCCTCTAAACTTTAGGTAAATGCAAGTTTTGTTTTCATACAAAATTTATTAAAAATTTCAGAAGGAATGAGAGCAGTCAAACAACTAAAAAAATTTTATGTGAAATGCTTCAATTCAAGGTCAAAATCAGTTCAGTTAGACCTTTTATAGTTTTGTTTCAATACACTTAAACCATTTCAAAATACTTTAGCAATGGTTACAGATTTAAATAATACATAATTTTACTTATAAGCCACGAGCCGTGATAGCTCAGTGTCCGGGCGCTCGCCTTTAATTCAATATACTCGAGCAACCTGAGCTCGATCCCCGGTGCCGGCACCAATGAAGTTTTTAACTTTAAGTGCTGACTTATCACGTGCTCCGCGGTGAAGGAAAACATCGTGAGGAAACCTGCATATTTTCGAAATAATAACAAAAAATATTTCGAAGACATGTGAAGTCCGCCAATCCGCAGTGGGGCCGCGTGGTGGACTATGCCCTGATACCCTCTGTATAGAGGAGGCCTTTGCCCAGCAGTGGGACATGTATAGGCTGTTACTTTACTTTACTTTACTTTACTTATAAGCCGAGGCGCATATATGTATTGGAGAAGTAAATTATTTATTCGGTGACATAATTTTGAAAATTAGTCGTGAACGTCTTAGATAGAAGGCTAATAATAATATAGCAGACGCTACTTGTTGTAAAACATTGGGAAATAAACATTGATGTGTATGAATATGTTTTGATACCCATATTTCAATTGTGATCATTCTATTTCTAGAATCTTTGTTTATTCCATTTGAAGGTTTCAAATTCGGACGAGTGACGATCGCTTTACTTTTTTAGGACTATTTCTAAAATAGGTCAAGGACCGGCACAAGTAGTGGTCTGGGGCAAGGGAGGTGCTCTTGCCTATGTCGAGAACAATAATGTATATTACATCTCTAATGTTGCCCGACCTGATATAGTAACTGCACTAACGAGCGACGGTATCCCTGGAGAATTATACCATGGCGCGACGGACTGGATATACGAAGGTGAGGTTAGAAAATGCTTTCACGTAACATTATGGCGATAACAAATACCAATTACGTTAAATACATAACTAGAGTGAAAACATAAGGTGTGTGTGAATACTTTTAACACTATTATCATTGTTTTATTATAATAAACTCTGTTACATACAACACTAAAACATACTTATCTTTTAAAGTCGATTATTTCAGAAATTCTTCCCTTTCTTTTTAAGATAACTGAGTCTATAAATTTAAAAATAATTAAAATATGACAGAAAAGGGAATAAGAAAAATAAATGAAGAGGAAAGTTTTCAGATTATTTTTTATTTTCAGTGCTAGTAGTCTATGCACTCAAGATAAAATAAATAATTAAATTGTAAATATTTGTTAAACCTGCGTCTTCTGGTTTCGAATCCCCCAACGCAGAAAGTTTTTGTTAATTTATCTACGTAAATTTACAACTTAACAATACACAACGCCAAACATTGCTTTAAAATTTATGAAGAATAAATGTGTGAAGATAAGCCGTTTAGCTCTGTGGTTAGAGCGCCGGTTGCGCATCTCGGAGAACGTAGTCCAAGTCCTCGTAGCGGCGCAAAACTCCATCGTCCATTATTCTAATTTTTTTTAATAATTTCATCTTAAACACAGATACTAGCACAACAAAAATTAACTCTTTTATAAATCAATATTATATTTTAATTAAATTGCCTTAAAGATTTCGCGTTAAATCGAAAATTGAAATTAGACGAGATGAAAGCCGAGGAAGAGTTTTATTAAAATTTCATGAATCGCAGAATTAATATAAATTCATTAAACTCATTAAATATTAAGCGTGATATTATCTTTTAAATTTATTATCATTGTTGTTGTACGAGACGGCGTGTATGCACGCATATGAGAAAAAAAAATGTTCCGTTCCGCTTTTAAAAGTCTGTTGCCTGCTACTGTTCGGTTCGTATTTTATACTAGTGTTCGAAATTCGACCGATGTATTATAATTCTTTGACAACAATGCTTACTGTCTACCACCAAAACACAAAAAAGGGATATCGAGTACATTCAGGCATGGTCAGACATTCGAATTATGAGTCAACAATGCTTTCAATTAGGCAGCATAACTTAAAGCGGAATTTGTTATATTAGCGAGTTATTAGATACTAGCTGCCCGGACAGACTTCGTTCTTTTTTATAGTATTAAAACCTTCCGTGAACCTTAAGGAACATACAAACAAATAAATTAGCCGAATTAGTCCAGCCATTCTTGAGTTAAGCGCTTACCAAAATTCATTTTTATTTATTATGAAGATAAACGCGGATAGAAAGGACGCACAGTAAGTGTTGTATACTAGTTATATGGAGGTAAAAGTTGTTTATTTGTATGTTGTGAGCAATGTCTGAAACTATGGGATACCTTTTTAAAATTTAGTTTTATCAATGAAAATGCTGTAATAGTGTAACAAGTCTATTTTAATAATATCAATAGTTTCGGCCACGCAGTTCCCAAGTATTATTTTTTCTTCTGAGGGAGTTTGTACATCCCTGATGTACAAACTATTATATTATATTATAAGCACCATTATACATTATTATACCATACCCATTATACCATATACATTATTACTATTAACGAGTAGGTACGCGCTATTAGTCCTGGTTAAGGCTTAATTCATACCTTTTACTGTCGAAGTAACCCCTTGGTGTCGAACGATAATACATACATATAATAGTAATACATATAATAGTTCATTATTTTTATTAAAAATAATCTAATTGAAATTTGTCTATCAGTGCGAAACTACTATACTGCTATTACGCTACTAATAAAGGTTAAAATTTAAATTGCAGAGGAGGTGTTCAATGGGGCCGAGGCACTGTGGTTTTCACCCAACGGCACGTACCTAGCCGTAGCTTCGTTTGACGACCGTAATGTAGAGTCTGCAATTTATCCGTACTATGGCAGTCCAAGTGATTTGGACAACCAATATCCTCAGCTGGTTCAGTTCAAATATCCGAAGGTTGGTATACATTATTAAGTTTATATTATCTTCACAATAAAATAGTACGAGCTCACAACAACGTACAAAAAAGTAAAAACTCTCAAGTACTTTACATCATTATTGTAACTTGTTAAGAGTACTTTTTTATCAGAATCATATTATTTAAATAAACAAAAATGATCAACACTTTATACTTATAATATTGAACTGATAAAGAGTGCACTACTTGAAATTTTGGGTTTTATTATTAATATTGAGGACAAATTTTGTTATCATATGATTCAATTTCTATTTTGTTGTCAGGTAGGTCGCACCAATCCAATGGTTGCTCTTCGGGTTTTTAATCTAACCAACTTAGATAGTGAACCGTGGGTCATTCCGGCACCAGTTGACGTGGTCGGGCTAGATCACATACTGGGTAGAGTAAATTGGGCGACCGATCAGAACCTGGTAGTTCTCTGGCTGAATAGAAGACAAAATGTCAGTATCCTGATTAATTGCGACCTCGCTCTGGACAAATGCAGTATGGTAAGGGAGCAGACCGAGAGAAACGGTTGGGTTGATATTCGGGATCCATTCTTCGACAGCACCGGAACTCGTATGGTGGAAGTGCAGCCTATGTTTTACAATGATCAGAGGTTTTTGCACGCCGCACTTTACGACTTCAACACACAAAACGCGGAGGATCTGAGCCCTGGAAACTCAACCGTCACTTCCATCGTCGGATGGAACGAAAAGACGGACACTGTATATTACATAGTATCCCCATGGGATCGCCCGTGGGAGAGACAGCTATGGGCGACGTCTGATGGAGTTAGCCGGTGCATATCATGCCGGGATGCGACCTGCCGCAGCGTAGCCGCAATGTTTTCGCCCGGCGCTAGTTATGGCATCGTCTCGTGCAGTTCTACCAACTCGGCTCCAATCACTTACTTGTACAATGGACAGGTAATCTATTCTCATAAGTCATAATTCAATAGAACTCCTTTGGAACACTTTCTACTATGTAACGCTCTTGTCTATTTCAGACTAACGGCCTCAAAATTATTGTCTACAACAATGAGTTGACCGAAAAACTTAGACATTACAAGCTGCCAATGACACTTTTCAATATCATATCCTTAGGAGAAGATATCGTCGCTCACATAAAGCTCATGCTCCCACCCGATATGGAGGCAGGGCGGAAATATCCAATGGTCTTAAAGGTGTATGCTGGTCCAGGCAATACTAGGGTGAAAGACAATTTCAATTTAGGTATGTATTTCAATTTGCTAAGTAATTTCACCTCACAAATGAACGGCTAATGCTATTTGAACATAGCATCAATCAATGTCCGTTTTCAATTTTGCAGAGTACTACGGCTCTTATCTATCGACGAATAGGAGTTTTATAGTGGCTTCCATCGACGTCAGGGGGTCGGGCGCGATGGGAGTGGAGGCCATGTACTCCGTCAACAATGCGCTCGGCACCGTCGAAGTAACTGATACGTTGGCTGCACTAGAGTACGTATAACCGCACAGGAGGACTAATAAAAGATAGTAGAAATACAGACTTCATTATTTGTTCATGTTATAGATTTGGCTTCATTTGTTATTATCATTTTTCTTGAATTTTATATTTGTGAAACTAAAGGCATAAAATGAAGAGATTTCTATATTTTTTGTAACTTTTGGTAAAGACGACCCGAATGGCGTTGTGGGTAGTGTACCTGCCTCCTGCGCCAGAGGGTTTGGGTTCGATCCCCACTACTGGAAACATGGTGTTTTTATAGTGTCTTTTAAAGTGTTTAGTGTGTTTAAGTATATTTATCAGTTCCCTAGTACCCATAGTACAAGCTTTGCTTAGTTTGGGACTGGAAAATGTTGTGGAAAAAATGTGTCCTAAAATATTTATTTATTTAGTTCAGGTAACGGCACTGACAAGTGCATGAAAATCCATTCCAGTACGTCAAAGGCAGCATTAACTGTGATATACTTTTATGCGTATTTAATCACGCATTATTTCTTTCCTTTATTTATAAAAACAAACGCCATTGGTATGATGGATTGAAATAATATTAATAATATAAATATTTAAACGCTTCCTACAGGAATATGTACTAAGGTCTGCGATGTCGCATTCTGAGTCATTACACTGTCTGCAACAATGAATTATCTTAATTGTTTACTTATTTCATTGTGTTATCATTTGTGGCTAGGCGGCTGATCAGTTTGTACCCGTTCATTGACCCTGAGCGCATTGGTGTATGGGGCTGGAGCTACGGTGGCTACGTCACTAGCATGATGCTGGTGCGGGACAGTATCAGACTTCTTGCTTGTGGCGCCGCAGTAGCGCCAGTAACCTCGTGGTTGTACTATGGTAATTGAAAGTTTCATCTTTCGTCATGTTCTTCATTTACGTTGTTCATGGTTTTTATTTAATTTTATTTTCTACTTATTCCCCTGACAAGATTATTCCCGTTTTTCGATCGGATTGGACCTTTTTTATCTTTGTGTGTGGGTGTGTTCCTCTTTTATTATTTCGTTTTCTTTTTAAGGTTCCGTACCTTATAAGGTAAAAAAAGGAATCTCTATTAGATCACTCTCTTATAAGTCACAGCCCGTGTGTCACCGTCGATTTTCCCAGGAATGGGTGAACCTAATAAGTTGAAATTTATACCAGATACTGAGTCTAATTAGTCTATTAGGTGTATAAAAATCAAGGCCCTGAGTCAAAACGATAAAAAGATATGGGCAAATACAAAACTTTTAATTACCTCGTTAATATAACTTTTTTTTCGGAATTTTGCCCTTACTTGTGCTGTAATGTCTTTTTTTGAACAAAATTGACAATTCAAGATCAACCGGAAGTACCCTATAGGTTTTATGTCGAAAGTATCTGTTAAGTAAGTAAGGTAAGTAAGTATAAATTTCAACTTGCTAGCTCCACCTGTTACTGAGAAAATCAGTGGCGTCTGTTTACCAAGTTTATTGAGGCGGTAAGGCGGCGGTAATGGATAAGTACGGAACCCTCGCCATACGACTCGCACTTGGCCAGTTTTTTTGTATTTAGTATGTTTACAATGTAATAATAAAAAAGTGTTAGCTATCTATGTGGTGGACTATGCCCAACTCCCGGTACAGAGGAGGCCTTTGCCCTGAAGTGGAACATATAGGCTGACAAATTACGTGCAATCATATAGCAGTGTCCGCTGGTGCAGGAATGGGAAGCCTTGTCCAAGGGTTAACACGGCTGTATTATTATTTCTATCCATCTAACACGGTCCTGCCGTGTTAGATGGATGAAATTCGTATAATCCGTGTGGTGAGGTAGCCAGACATATCCTTAATGTCTGTATCCCAACAGGAGTAGACAGAAGTAGAAGAGAGAGTAACACTTTAAACTCACCAGTTTTCAGATAAAAATAAAGAAAGTAATGTAGGAGTTTCAACTGGGTAAATAGTTGTGAGCTTGCTCTAAAGTATGGCGTATGTAAAACAACGGCACGATATTTAAAGTTTTGTTTTTATGAAAATTGCTAACGACCTGTTAAATGCAATATTACACAGTATTGTATTGTTGTTTAGTTTAAATGGAATCGGAATGAGGGGCACGTCACTCAATGATTATTCTTTTCTACGACATTTAGTAAATAGTCTATTTATTTATATATTACAAAAAATGTATTTATATTTCCTATAAAACTCTGGCATTAGCATAATATTGTATTATATTAGATTAGTTGAGTCGCGCACGAAAAACTGTCCGTATCGAGATAAAGTGGCATCATGTTGCTAATAATGATGAGAATAAAATCATTCTTTTATCGAATTTCGGCGACTTTTACGATGTTAATTATTATAAATTTAATAATTGAGAAGTAATGAATATACTGTTATATATCCAATTCATATATTATTCCATAATTACCTTATTTAACCCTGCGAAAAAATTGGCGTAGTACGTACGAATGGCCAAAAGTTGCCGGCTGCCAAAGTTATTTCACTGACGTATTGAGAAATGTCCAGATTTTGACACGCTGCAATACTAAAATTTATTTATGGATGTATTCATTTCATGCAGTGCATTTAAAAAGTTTTACAAATGCCTATGGGATTGCAAGAATCACTGTCGACTTTTAAACGACTCTACGCCGTTTAACTTAATTGCGTTTAGGTCGTTTAGTTGCTTTTAAAACTTTAAACACGTTTTTAACTGGCGTAGAAAATGCAATAATATTATTTTTCCCAGCACGTTCTCTTCAAGAGACTGTCGCGCAGTGGAAGCCGACAATGAATTGGCAGCACCGTGACATTGGTGACTTGGCTAGACTTCCAGTCTCCTCTCTTACTAAATGTTTTAAGCACTTCAAGTTTCATTCATCGTTACTATTGTTTTACAATATGTATTATTATATTACTAAATATTCATTTACAGCTGACACCCTTACTTATTTAGTTGTCTGTAAGTTAGAATATATTATTTCCGCCAGAATACTTTTTAGTCCCATTAAACAAAGTCCCCAAAGCAAATATCTCATCTATTTATTATTCGTATTAGTATACAACGTGTCACCTTGTCATTAATAAATCAACTTTCTGTATTAAACATTTTTCAATCAGTCTTTATTAGGTCCTACCAAATAGGTTTCCCGAAATAAAAATCAAATAAACAGAATTAAAACAACTGACGAGACTTGACACAGCTGTGTTTGTATGACAACTTAATTTTTAACGGTAACCTAGCTCTGTTTCGTAAATTAGTGAAATACAATAATATTACATGCAAATAGGAGGTAGATATGACACTAACGTAGAATGATGTTTACGCATGTCCATAACGATAAAGATTACGCATGTCCATAACCCGCGACTTTTAAAAATTGTTACGTTTTACATTATATGACATTTATAAGTGACAGACGATATAGAACGCATTATGCGGAAAGAGATAGCAGTCCATAGAATTGCAATCTAATTACACCAATTGGCGTGTATATGTCATATAATTATGCATCGCGTATATCGCATTATGGACATGCGTCATCTCTATTAAAACATCATTGGTGAAATGTTTTGTTTACAGATTCCATATACACGGAACGATACATGGACACTCCGCAAGCCAACCCTCTTGGTTATAAGCAGTCAGACTTGCTGGCTGCATCAGAGGAGCTTCGCGGAAGACAATATCTCCTTGTCCATGGCAGTGGAGATGACAACGTTCACTTCCAGCACAGCATGCAGCTCGCTAAAAAATTACAGCATGCCGATATTGCTTTTGAACAATTGGTAAGATTGTTCATATATATTATAATTAACATTGTAACTTAATTTTAATAAAGAACATTGGTTATATTTGCCCTTGCCTGTCAATTTTCTTGCTCCAATGAACACTAGTACGCCAATAAAGGCAAATGTGACAATCATGTTAATTGCTTTTCGATGTTTTATTATTCAACCAATGAAAGTTAGTATAACTATAATATAATAGTGTAAATAGAAATAACAAAAGTATTTAATGCTAAATACTTTTAACTTAGGTTTTACATAAACGTAACTCTTATATATTATTTTTAATTTACAACAAACTGCTGTTATTGATTCATTCTGATATCACCTAGCCTTTCGCCTTCGTGACAACCTGTATATAGTATATTTTATTCAAAACCTTTTACGATTTGCATGTATTTATACTAAGATTTGTTTATTTTATATTTCAGAGTTACACGGATGAAAATCATTCATTAGCGGGAGTGAGCCGACATTTCTATCATGCGCTTGACCACTTCTGGACGCAATGTTTTAAATTATAAATAAGAATATGTTGTGTTAATTATGTACTAAATTATTTACATGTAAATTGCTTAATGAAAACCTTTCAAATTAAAGACTGTACGTGTATGGTATATATGTTAGTCATCCCCTAGTTTGACGATCAATGGTGACATAAGATTGGCCTTTATTTGTAAGATACTTGAAGATAAACAACAACATTTTGTATGAGATTAAAGATGAGTTTAATTTATGGACTATACATATTTCTTTAATTTAATTATACATTTTTTAATATTAAGTGTAGCGTTGGTTTTCCTCTGTTTATGTTTATTGTTTTAAAATATAAATCTATAAAACTATGCGAAGTGTTATAGGTAGTTCATGTACTCGATATGAACATTGGGTCGGAAAAAGATTAATAAGACATTATTACCCTTCTGATGTTAATGCTCATCATTATAGGTGTAAAACTATTAAAAATGTTAATCCTTTGAAACTCGTAAAAAATTTAGGTCTCCACTGTTTTTACTGAGATTTTTTCACAAACATCTAATAAAAAAGTTTTTAAATCCAATGCCTTCAGTGTTAAAAAGTATAGATGACTTTTTTATTTTTTACGTATATAATGATATAACAAAGAAAGAAAAACATTCATTGCAGAAATAAGTCACATTAGGATTGAACAGTTGGAACATCCTAATTATGTTATCTTATCCTTTAAACGAGCATTTCTTGTATATATATATATATATATATATACAAGAAATGCTATATATATATATATATATATATATATAATCGGAATCTCGGAAACGGCTCCAGCAATTTTCATGAAATTTAGTATGTGCGTAGATCCGGGGGCGAAAAATCGATCTAGCTAGGTTTCATTTTTAGAAAATGTCCTTTTTCTCCCTGTTTTCAGGGAATGAAAAATATCATTCGATATGACAGTAAAATTCGTCGCAAAAAAAATGTTATAATGGCTCGGTCGGTAATCGTGCGGCCCCAAAACAGACGGCCGCGGTTCGTATCACGATCATCTTTTTACTTTTTCTTCTATACCAGATCATTTTCTTTATTTTTTTTTTATTTCCAAAATACAGGTCCGCCAGGTACTATTATCTAACTGTGGTAGAGGCACGCAACAGCTACTGCTGTTCCATGACTGGGCAGGCGCGTCCGGGAAAGTACAACGGCCTTACAGTAGATCGGTATCATGTTGAAGTATAAAAATTTCACGTTTCGTCCGTCTGATGAGTAAGGTAGCCGGTTCCCGCTTTTTAAAGGATGTACGCATCTTCAAGCCAGCAGATGTTGTAGATGTCCATGGGCAGCGGTATAGACATCTGGTGGATCACCTGCTCGGTTGACAATTTTGCACATAAAAAATGTACATATAAATTGCAAACATAAAAAAAGGAACACTAAAAGGAAAATAAAAATATTAATATTTGTGAAACAAATATACTTGTGTGTGGCGTATACGGCGATCATTGTGGATATTTTTAATTTTGTACTTTTGAACATCCTGCTATTAATGACATTATACATGAACTTCGAATAAATCGGAAAATATCGAAAAAAAAAAGTAGATTTGTTCTAGGCTTGCAAATAATAGACTAAAGATGTAGTATTATAAGCGTTAAGAATGTCCAAAAAGCAGACGTTATTGACATTGTCAAAATAACATATACCCAAACGTAGATAAAATTTTTAGTGAGTGAATATAACATACAAAAATGCTAAATCCATATATGAGACTTCCCATTTTTCCATTAAGATTATGGTCGAAAATATATAAGCGATGGTTTGTCATTATTTTTCATATTATTTTCACTTTAATTAATAACATTTTATAATCTAAATAGGAAGCTAAAATCTTACTTATCTAAAACTTGAAATAAATCGTAAATACCAGGCCAGTAACGACGCTTAAGTACAGTATTCTTTAAGATAAACTTTTACGTACCAAATGTATACACAACTTTACAGTTTTAACAAATTTCTTTAATAGAAAATATGTTTTTGAAGTATTTTTACGAATCAACATTTTTGTCTATGCAAAAATCAATCTTTCTAGGAGTTCGGATGATACTGTGCTATACGATTGCGGGCCAGTAATAGACGACCGTGGTATATGCGCAATTGAACCCTGTGATTCGGATATGTGCTACCCTTCACCACGTGTTGTCATAATTGGCGCCGGAATGGCAGGGCTTTCTGCTGCTGCGAGACTGTCACAGAGAGGCATAGATAATTTTGTACTTCTGGAAGCTTACGAAAGGTTCAAAATTTATGAAAAATTAACTGACTTCAAAACTAGTATCGTGGCATTTTAATTTGCTATTTCTTACAGACCAGGGGGAAGGATCCATTCGTGTTGGCTGGGTGATATTGTGGCAGAACTCGGTGCTCATTGGAAACCTGATAATTATTTCACTCATCCAGTCCACGCGTTAGCAGCTGCGGAAAATCCACCACGCCCTGGAGTACCTGGGGCAGTTCACACACGGGGACTCTTTAATAGAGTTGTGACTGGAAAAATGGCATTTCCCCCTACCGTTACCGCTTATTATAAATTTAGACAAATAGAAGAAGAAGCGGCGCATTTATACTGTCTGGGTGGAAATAAACAACACGGCTCCTTGATTAATTTTATGAGCCTCAGAATTCAGCAAGAACTGCACGATTACCCTCATGAACAGCAGCACGATGCAGCACGAATAATGTTTGGACTCGCCCATATGTTGAATGCTCGTTGTTCCGACGATACGGCAATGCTAAGAGCTGACCATTCCGGATGTTTTATGAATATGCCAGGTGGAGTAGTTCGGGTTCCGCTAGGTTTAGTTGGCACATTAGCTCCGATGCTTCGGCAAATACCTGAAGGCGTAATACGTTATTGCAAGCCAGTGAGTTGTATTTTTTGGGGCACATCTCAAAAATCAGGACACCGCGCTGTCGTATGCGCCTGTGACGGAGAGGAATTTCCTGCAGATTACGTCTTGACTACGGTATCCCTTGGTGTATTGTACAACTACGCAAACAGACTATTTTGTCCAACATTACCAGCAACTAAAACGGACGCTATGCGTTGTCTTGGATTTGGATACTGCAATAAAATCTTTTTG